TCATCTTCTTCCCTTTGAGGTTCAGCTTCCTGGGAAGACCTGAACAACCAAGTTCGCGGTTTGCACCAAACAGCTAGATCCAGACACCGGGATGAGAACATCAAGGTTGCGTGCAACAGGCATTCCTACAGGCCCATCTCCCTGACGAAGCTGAAGAGCATGTCAATCGCGCTCTCGTACTCTTTGCGACCCGTTCGTCGCCTTGGTTATCACCCCCTCCTTTGATCGCCGACGCTGAAATACCCGGGCCAATGAAGGCGGACGATTTGCCGCAACCAGCTTTCAGAAGGGGGATGTATTTGACATCATCAAGCACCAGGGCGAAGGTCAAAACTCCCGGTACCGAGTCCAGTGGGTTAGATCCTCGCTACGGCAGACCACCGCGGAGCAGAAATCGTTTCTGGTGCCTCTCTCGATGACTCAACCTCAGTAATGAGCACAAGAACCAGCGAAGATGAGGAATTTAGTACCATGCTTTCAGCTTGTACAGACGAGAAGCTCTCACACTAGAACATTCTCTTCCAGTCACCTTATCACCATGTCAAAAGTGATGATGATGACGTCCATTCGTTGCGGAGACCCCTGACTCCAACGCTCCTTCGGATCCTTGGAGGACTTCTGATGAGAAGGTAGCCGCCCAAGAATGATGACCCTATCGAGATGTCGACAAGGAAAGGATCTGTGCGAGAAAACTTCAACGGAACGAAGAGCCTTAGAACACCTCCAAGTCTTTTCATCCTGTTACAAAAGAGAGACAACATGTTGAGGAAGCCTGAACATGTGATTTGGAACTGGCCAATGCCTCCAACTCGGCCGGCATCGCAGTGTCCCCATCCCAATCCGGCCCCAACCGTCTGGTCGTCCGTTTGGGTCACTCATCCAGACATTCTCCAACATCATCAAGGAAGAATTCAAACTGTGAACTCAAATTGGAGTCTGGATTCAACCATCGTCTGTCTATGTCCTTCTGCCGAATTCTCACTGAATCACTGATCAATCCGTCAGTGATTCAGCCCTATCCATTACATCTCACTGGATTACTCTTCTCAGGAGACACCGTATCAGTCATTGAACACTGGCGACTATACCATTTTGGGTACGACCTCATGACAACTATTGTGATTCATATCCAAACAACAAGGTCAAAGTCATCGAAGTCGCCCCCTTCCGTTTTGATCTACCTCATCTAGCACTTGAAGCTCTGGTTCCGCTAGTGAAGTAGAGCCTGCTACTACCAAGGGAGACCATGCGGCCAGAGAACCTGGTGAAGAACCTACTACTACCGAAGAAGAGTCGGCTTCGGACGAGCTGGGGGTCCTTCGCTTAAGCGCAAGCTCGGAAGCATGGATGAACTCCCAGAGGTAACTTTCTTCTCCTACCAGAACACAGAAGAGTAATTAAATAGTATCCAGCAAGGCTCCCATCTCAAGTGGAACAGCAATTCCATTCCAAGGCTGCTTTTGAACAACAGACTCCGCGTCGAGTGGCTCGATGACAACCGCCTGATCATGAAGAGATGGCTGCATCAAAGCCGACATACGACGACACTCAGCTTTATCCCAAGAGAGTCACCTACCGGACCGTCGCAGAATAGGCAAGAGGCCTACCCATGACTCAGGGATCACGCTCAGTTGATGTCTACGAGAGACAAAGCACAATGGATGACGCCGCCAGTGTCTTCTCCGCACCTCAGCATCGCTGATCATCTCCGCGAAGCACTCGATGCGATCGAGTGAGTATTGTCAATATACAACCTTTGTACTAGGCTGACATGTAATCTAGGGACTTGAACGAGAGGGTTGATACCCTTGAGCAGTAGGGGACCCTAGGTCTGGCTCCTGACGAAGGTGGGAGTCACTGGTATCAATCATACACGCGACAGGCCCGCCGGCATAATGAACCGAACTTGGCATATGTGCAACAACGTGAACGATCCTGGTGATCTTACCGCCTAACTTGCCGGAGTCCTCACTTGCCAAACCATGCTCGTCCCGCTGTGGAAGTTGGCATCGCTTGGGGACAGTCGAGCACCCTGTTCAACAGCTGCATATTGAATAACTCCAGAGAGCAGGAATAGGAAGCTAGAACAACTGCCTGTCTGTTCTGGATCGTCTTCGGCAGAGGCTCCTGACCTGGTCTTGTTTGTCAGTAACACTTTGTTATAGGCAGCGATCGCGCTCAACGAGGGCCAAACTGCAAGCTACCCATCCCATATGTCTTCCGGATGGAGGAGGCATGTGTTGAAGAAGGAGAACATCTTTCTGGCGACTAGAAGCAATTAGTTGAACATGCGACCAAGGCTGAATATGAGGGTGTGATCCGGTTCAAGCTCAGGACCGTTTGGAGGAACTCTCCAGAACGTTGAACTGTGACTTGGTGGGCTGTGTCGGTCTTGCTAGGTCAAGGACAAGAACGTCGCAAAGAGACTGTTCAGGCCATGTGTCAGACTTCTACTTCGAATGCCAACTATTTGACTCATCCACGGTGATCCATCTACCACCTACCATGGCAGTACAGCGCCATAGATCATCTTCAGATAGCGGCATGGACATCCTATCGGGGATGGATGTCATGTCCCTCATGTAGAGATGGGCTACTGCCGTTATCTCTTATATTTTGAAGGTCGATACAACGCAAGTATGGCTTCAGTTTACAATTCACGATAACTGCCGAAGGCCAATCCTGGGCATTTCTTTCATACTAGCAGCTCAATATACAAGTTGGATTTCTCACTACTTTATTTACTGCACTACATTCGCAATCCTCTAAGAACCACTGGAAAACAGCGACGCTCCTTGATCGGTTAGTCGTCGAACAAGATCACGTTTGTGCCGGAACACCAACTCGTTCCAGACACTTGAGGTAGATCAACCAAACAGTGTTATAGTATATATACTATATCATCAAAACACACGTCAATTCCCTTCATAATCTATATATATTAAACGAAGCATGTTCTAGCACCAGGCAGACGAATCAAATACCTGCCAACTAGCAGATCCTGACACTGCTCGACAGCTGCAGACCCGGCTGCCACGCGGTGCGAGATCGGTCCATTTGTGCCAGTGGAAGATAGTAGTAAAATAAATCTTGGAAATTCCCTTTCTTCCCTTTCCACAGAGTCATCATAAAAGAATCCTCACTCATCGACAAATCTCTATATGCCGAAGTCGATTTCGCCCCAACCTCACTGTAAATCTGATAATTCTTTTCAACAAACAAGCAAAATGTCTTCCGAGAGCACCTCTGCGAGTATGGATCGAGCTCAAATCCAAGAAGTACGTCTCACCACACAAAAATGCCTGATGCAAACGCAAAACAAGCCGGCGAGTTAGAGGAGAATCTTGACCTGATGTATCCCTGTTCTGCTTGGGACAAACGGGTGATAACAGTTTCTAGTCCTCCTCCTAAATAGCCTCCTGCCAAAATGACGAGGCTAATCTTCGACCGACTTTTCAACGACCAAGGAGAGATGTCCTTCGGGCATCTCAAAATGACGGCTCCTACGCACCCCGTCATGTCCATGTACCTACTGACCTGGCAAAGAAACCTGGCAATGATGGTCGCAATATACGGACCGAAAAAGAGCAGGCTCGGTGTGACAGTTTCTTCCGGTTAGAGAAGAAGACCCACGAACGGGTGGACAAGTCCTTAGCCCGACAAGACACATGATTCAGATCATTAACGTAAGCAAATCACGACACCCCCATCCAGTCACCCACGATACATCATTCACGGTGTGCCTTGGCCAAGTCTACATCTTTGTATGCTGGAACCTTGCATTCCCCGAAGCCTACTTTCTGGCGCCGAGATAAGGATAATTCCGTTGAGTTTGTGAGCTCTATGGCAAGACCTGTCTCAAAGGTCCGTGTTAGTGACTAACTTACTCGGGGAGTTTGCCAAGTCTGTGACTGCTTGGTTCCAAACTGTTTGGTGTGGCTCGAGGCTTTTGATATGTTGGACAAGGCTCCAGACTGTAAAGTTGTGGTTGATTCGTGATAGACTTTCTATGTCATCAAATAGGCAGATACCGACCTATAGCTCTCTTGTAAGAAACTAATGGATACTCCAATGGTGGCTGTATAGCGCTTTCTCCGATCACATGGCCGAGTCTGAACCAGGGAAGAGCGAGCCGGGGATGAGGATAAACCACTGGCAGTGCCCAGGTTGGGTGCTGATATCAAGATGGGATCGGCTTCGATTGTAAGCAACCGTTACAAAGTGTGTGCATAAAGGCTCACGCCACTTCCGATAGTTTTGTCCTGGTCCCTGACGCTACTTGTGGCGAGAGGAAGCCGGCTTGAGCAGGTATTCCGAATTGCCTTGGACTTGGTAGACGCAACATGTAGATCCGTGATCTAATCCATGGAGCACATCGCAGTGGATGTAGCCTCATGTTTAATGATAAATTCCATATTATTTCTTCTGAAAAAGCGTGGTGATATCTGTGGCCCAGTGATGGTTCCGAACAGGGAAACTGCACTACACTACACCACATTGCACGCTCCCTTTGTAGATAGCTCGTATGCCAACTGCAAAAAGATCGTCCGTATAAATCAAGATTCATGTCCCAGGTGAACCAATAAGTCGAAGTCAACTCGTCTAATAAACCAGTAAGCGGCAAAGCCTGATGAAGTTGGCCACCACTTGGCAGTGCCAACACGACCGGCACCTCGGCCACCTTTTAACCCCGAGTCGAAAGGCTAATAACAGAATTCATTGAATTCATTTATGTCATTCTTACCTATAAATCTGGTGCGGGGCTGAACAATATCAACGAGAACAATACTAAGACCCTTGCCCTCAGCCTCGTCTGTGCACCATCACCACTGCTTCTTTCATATTGTTCTTTGTCACCACAAACCCTCCTCCTCATCAGCCCTGTCGCCTCATTGCCTCTCACCATGTCTCGACATACTCGACTACTGTTCTTTCTAATTTTATTTGCTTTTCATCCAGATTGATGTCACTACTTTCGTTAATCTTCAACTTCATTCGCAATGGAACAAGATACCAAATCATCATGGAAACAACTCTTCGCTTTTACAAAACGATCACATACTGGAGCGCTCATAGCGGCATTAATAGCAGCGGCCTTTTCGGCTGGCTTTAAAACAGTTCTCGCTGTCATCCTGGGAAAGATCTTCGATATTATCGCTGGCTTTGGCAATGGGACGTTTACAGGGGATGAGGCCCTTTCTCGAGTGTCAGACTGGGCACTGGTCCTTCTCGGAATGGGAATCGGAAACTGGATTGCGAGTACAGCATTCCTTGCGCTCTGGGTTATCTTTGGGGAGTTGCAGGCTTGCAATGTAAGAGAGAACATCTTTGCAAGCCTTCTCTCCAAGGATATGGCCTGGTTCGACTCTCAGTCCGAAGGCATCTCTAGTCTTCTTATCAGAATACAAACGTGAGTATCCCTCATTCTCCTTGATATCTAGCTGATAGACCTCAGACAAACCCGAGAACTGCAACTGGCGTCCTCCCAAGTTCTTGGTCTTCTCGTCGGCGACATAATCACCTCCTTCGCCTCGCTAGGCATCGCCCTCTACTACTCCTGGAAACTCACCCTCGTTCTCCTCGCCACTCTCCCAATCTCAGCCATCGTCCTTTCTCTTTCAACAAAGCGCCTGGAACCCGCAATTCAAGCTCAAAAGCGTGAACTAGCTGTCGCCTCAAAGCACGCCGTCGCATCAATCACCGCCATAGATCTCGTCAAGATCTTCAACGGATACGACCAGGAAGTCTGGCAGTACTACCCCTCCATCAAATCCGCAGCCAAGCATTACCTCGTTCAAGCGCAGTGCAATGCTCTCCAGATGGGATACGTCGCCTTCTGGGTTGTCGCCATGTTTGTTGTGGGGTTTTGGTATGGTGTTGTGCTTGTCAACAGCGATGGACTTGCGGCGGGTGCTGTCTTGACGACGTTCTACTCTACGCTCGCAGCCTTCCAGGGTATCGAGGCGTTGATGCCGCAGTGGCTGGTCCTCGCGAAGGGTATGTCGGCTGGTGGATTTCTTTCAAGCATTACTCGTAACATGAGAAATGGTGGTACTATTAAGCCGATGTCCGGAGCTTTGCGCCCTCAGTTCTGCAGTGGTGATATCGAGCTGAAAAATGTAAGTTCTCCTTGACTCAACAAACACAGGTACTAACTTCGACAGGTGAGCTTTGCATACCCCTCGAATCCCACGTCCAGAGTCCTCAAAGAGTCGAACTTCTTCTTCCCATCCGGCGAGATCACATTCATCGTCGGAAGAAGCGGCTCTGGAAAGAGCACACTCGGTAATCTCATCGTCGGTTTCTACGAGCCCCTGAGCGGACAAGTCCATGTCGACAATCGGCCGCTACAAATACTCGACAGACAATGGGTTCGCGAAAACATCACTTTGATCCAACAATCGAGCGTTCTATTCAATGAATCATTCTTCAAGAACGTAGCCTTTGGTCACCAATATCCTGATGCAGCAACACGATCAGAGGTGATGGGCGCCTGTGATGCGGCATTGCTCCAGTCAACTCTAGCAGCGCTCCCTGAAGGCCTCGATACCAATGTTGGCGCCGACGGATATAATTTGAGCGGTGGTCAGAAACAAAGACTAGCACTTGCCAGAGCTCGCCTTCGAGATCCTCCAGTACTCATCCTTGATGAGATCACAAGCGGTCTCGATCAAGTCAGCAGAACGCTCATCATGGATGCAATCCGAGCATGGCGACGCGGCAAAACGACCATCATCATAACACACGATGTTGCTCAGATTGACGACAACGACTTTGTCTATGTGATGGACAATGCATCTCTTGTGCAAGAAGGCTTCAGGAAGAATCTGGACAAGCAAACCGGCAAAGTCTTTGCAACACTCTCATCCACAACATCGGATACCTCAGCAGCGACTGTTGAAATGACTATCGACTCTCCGACATCTCCTACTTCACCACTTTCACCATTATTCCCTCGACCAGCAAGAGCGTCTCGACTCTCAAGACTACTTGTCGGAGAGTTGGAGTCTTTCAGCCCAGCTCCAGCAAGTGCGTCGCGGCGTATGACTCTTGGAACAAATGCGGCAGCGGCCTTTCGCATCAGAACAGCTAGAGCATGGGATATGGAGACCTTCTCCGAAGAGGAGCGCCCATCAACAGCAGCTGATGTTCACCTACCTATGGATGACTTCTATGATGAGAAGCATAACAGTGCTCTCAGAAGTCGAAGTAGCTTGGATGGCTTTGAAACATCATGCACACTGAATGCTTGGGATGAACCAGAATATCTGTTTGGTGGAGCTGAGCGACCCAAGAGCATTACCAGACTTCGACAAGCAAGGTTGACCATCAACACGGAGGATAAAGAAGACGAGACTAAGGAACTCCCTCCTCCTATGTCGCTAGTTGCAATCTTGAAGACTGCCTGGCCAGCTATCGGCCGCGGTCATCGGTTTCTTCTCATACTTGGAGTGATTACGTGTTTGATCGGAGCAGGCTCCATCCCCGCGTTCGCGTATTGCTTTGCACAATTACTAGGTGCAATGTGGTCGCAAGGCGATAAGCTGGCAGAAGGGCAAAAATGGGCCATCTTTCTCAGTGTCATCGCTGTCGTCGATGGAGTTTGCACTGGTGGTGGTCGATATCTCCTGGAGTTGGTAGGCCAAGCGTGGATCAACACTATCCGCGTGGAAGCCCTGAAACGAATTCTTCGACAACCAAGATCCTGGTTCGACCGATCGCGCAACTCACCTGGTCGCATCAACGAGTGCCTCGATCGAAACGCCGAAGAAATGCGCAACATTGTCGGCCGATTCGTACCAATCCTCATCACAGTCACAGTCATGATCGTTGCAGCTATCGTATGGGCACTCGTCATATCCTGGAAGCTCACGCTCGTCGCTCTCGCACCGCTGCCTGTCGTTATGGGCGCAGTTAAAGGCTATACCATTATCAGTGGAAAATGGGAAGCGCGATGCAACGAAGGAGCTGAAGAAGCCAGCGCTGCTCTGACTGAAATCTTTCTCAACATTCGAGTCGTTCGGGCCCTTACATTGGAGAAGTATATGAGTACGAAGTACCTTAAAGTGGTAGCTCATACTCTGGGACTCGGCAAGAAGAGAGCCACCCGCACAAGCGGGTTCTTTGGTCTGTATCAATCAGTCAACTATCCTCTTACGGCTCTTGTATTCTATTATGGTACCGTGCTCCTGGCTTCGGAGAGGGCAATTACACCGACATCCGTTGTAGCAGTAGTCAATCTGCTTCTCTTTAGTATGGGGACAGCGACGAGTATTCTTAGTACGATACCACAAGTCACCATGGCCCAGTCTACCGCGGCACAGATGTTGAAGTACGCCAACATGCCGCTAACACCAATCAGTGAAAGTCGCGGACATCAGAAGCCAAAGTCACCACTTCCAGTACGACTTGACGACCTCGGCTTCTCTTACAAGTCAAGTTCAGAAAGACCGGTGCTGAGAGGTGTGTCCTTTGAGGTTAACGCCGGAGACTGCCTGGCCATCGTCGGTCGATCTGGGTGCGGCAAGTCCACGGTCATCTCGCTGATGCTGGGTCTCTATACACCTACCAGAGCTACAATACTCGGCTCCGAGTCGCCACTTACATATTCCGGCATTTCACACGCAGACATTGACATCGAGCATCTCCGCTCGATGATGGCATACGTACCACAAACACCATTCCTATTCCCAGCCACCATCGCAGAAAACATCACATACGGCCTGAACGAACTTTCGCCTCAACGCCACTTCCCCAATATCATGACCGCCGCAAAAGCAGCCGGTCTTCACGAGTTCATCTCAACTCTTCCAGACGGTTACAACACCCACGTCGGCGACGGAGGCCAAGCTCTCTCAGGCGGCCAAGCACAGCGTCTCAGCATTGCACGCGCGCTAGTTCGCAAGCCAAGACTTCTCGTGCTTGACGAACCAACAAGTGCACTGGATGCAGAAAGTGCTGAGATGATCAGGCGCACGATGCAGCGGATCGCGAGGAAGCCAAAGAGGGATATGGCAATTGTCGTGGTAACGCACAGCAAGGAGATGATGGCGATCGCAGATCGGATTGTTGTGCTGGAGGATGGTATCAAGGTTGAGGAGGGAACATATCACGAGTTGTTGCAGGCGAGAGGTGCTTTTGCGCAAGTGATTGGTGAAGGAGAATGGGAAGGTGGTAAAGAGTATTAAGAGTTAGATTGATAAGTTGGATATACGGATTAACGGATCAGCGGTTATTGCACGCAAATACGAAGAGTCTATTCTCGAAGCTAGTTAAATAATTGACCACGCTGCCACGTTGTTGCTCTGATGGTGGATCTTCCGGACCCAGTCTCTCCCCACGAAAAATAAAGTTCACGATCACCAGCTGACAATGACGCACTGTGATTGGTTGGGTGACCTTGAAGATTAGTAAGTCAGTGACACTCAGCAGGGGTCACGGGGTCAGAATGGCAGAGTGATCTAAAACATGCTAAGCCAAAGAATAAGATTCCAACGTTATCTCCATCCGTCCATTTCATCTCATATCCATCGCCACCTTCAATGCCGCGATAACTACCGGTTCACGTGTCGTACAATTTTTATATCTGCGATTCATTTATTCACAATCGTTTATTTATTTATCTTGCTTTTGATTAAGTAGTTGCGCACAGATATCGATTGATACCTTAGTGAGACGAGACACAAATCACCCTCGCTCATTTGTCTCCTTTCATTTCATTTCACTCATTTATACATACATCACTCACTTATACGAGCAAACCCCTACTCAAATGACAGCCACATCGCCTACCAAGCGCAAGGGTCGCTTATCTTCCAGCATCCAAGAAACCGACGATGCAGCTCTCAAGGTACCCCATCTCCCCTATCCCACTATGTTACACCCATGTAACTCACACTATCCAAGGCCCGTCGCGAACGCAACCGCGAAGCCCAAAACATCTTCCGCCGCCGTCGCCAAGCCGCCGAAGCAGCACAGGCCCAGCGCGTCCGCCGTCTCGAGCAGGTCGTCGAGGAGATGAGCTCCGTCTTCATGTCCTTTGTAGACGAGATGCTCACCACTGAAGCCATCGTGAGCGGGCAGCCGAGTCTTGTCGGTAGCTTGCGGCGTAGCATGGAGAGGATCCTCGAGCTGGCGCATGAGGTTGTCGGACCGGAGGAGGATCTTGTTGTGCTGCCGAGGTCGAACTCGCCGACAGAGGAGAATCGTCTGACGGGCAAGTCGCAGAGTCCTGACAGCGAGCGCAGTGAGACGAACTCGGACTCTGGTTCTTCGCTGGCTGTTACTCTGAGACGAATCCAGCCTGTGCAGCAATCGCAGACTTCCGCTTTGACGACAGCGCTGTCGACGTCGACTCACTCAGCAGCTTCAAACTCTACGTCAGCAACGTCCATATCACCGCCTACGCCACAATTCACGCCGCTCCACCATTTCCAGCAACCGTCTCTTGGCAAACCCGTCACAATCCCGTCCTTCACCCTGTCGCCCCAGATCTTCGGTAATGGCTGGCTCGGTACAACGCCAACCGCTCCAGGCGAAGTCGTGTCTACCGGACCACAGCATCAATCGCCCTTCTCATTCCGCGTCGCCAGCACCGCTCTACAAATAGCATGTCAACTCCTCGTAACCTCTCCGCCTGAATACTCCATGACCCCGCAACAAGCTCGACTTTTCTGCAACACGCTCAAGGGCAAGGCAAGAGAGGAAATGGTTACTCGTTTACGCTGGCTTATCGGTCCTGGAAAGCATGAGATGCATCGTGTTATTGATTTACCTTACGGACGATACGGACATCACGTTTATGCTCGCGGTGAACTTAACCCAACCACGATGGAGGACATCGAGTGGCCATGGCCTACAAGACCGGCTGGATCACGCATCGACCATTTCACACGATTCTTCAGCATCGTCGGCGTTGAAAAACAGCTTCTTGCGCTGGGTGCCCGGATGGTCGACAGCGAAACTTTGGAACTCAACCTCAACAACTCACCGATGCCAAACGTATCAGATGCCGTGCCCAACAAGCAGCCCGAAAGCTGGAGTTTCGTCAACTGCTTTTCGTTCCCGACGCAGCCGAAGAATGGTCCTGTAACGGTGCGACTGAGCATACCCACTCTTGTGACGTCGCTAGCCTCGAGATCCTGCTGTTTGATGAGAGGACCTGGAATACCGAGAGCCGAGATTGGAAGTGCTATTGAAGAAGCAATCATTAAAACAGGATAAGTACATTAAAAGTTGAAAAGTTTATGGATTGGATTTATATAAATGGATGGACATCACATAAGGAACACGGATTGGAAAATTTGCGGGATGGAAGCGTTGTTATTATGGCCTAGTAAAGCGACCTGTATATTGGTATGGTATCCTGAACCCCCTTCTCTGTCATAACGTCGTAATATGTCATTGAAATAATGGGCATCTATGCCTGTAAACTATGTGCCCTTCTCCTGTCTATCTCGTATTAAATCGCAAAGCAAGATTATCTTCTCTTAGATCTCAACAATCCTTCCCAAGTGATGTGGTGTCTCCAGGAGCTCTTCTTTTGCTCCTGTCGTTGTGTCTGGCCTCGAGGATTCGTCCTCCTTGCTCGACGTGGCCGGGGTAGATTTACTGCGACAAACTTCATGAATGCTTCATCTTGACTCGGCGGTAGGGTATTGCCACCACTGGTCCTCAGAAGAGGGTCATCCTTGAGTGTCTTGGGGTGAATCTCGAAGATGGCACCGGCGGTTGGTTTGCCTAGCCTGCTCGCCTCCACCAGAGCACCGAGGTCAATCTCTCGCTTTTCTTTCTCCCCTTGCTTTATTCTTCTTCTTTGGTCTGATCGAGCCATAGCTTCTCTTTGTTCTTGCGTCATTGGTGTCTCGTCATCCTCAGGATCCGGGGTCAAATGCATCATGTGAAGGATGTTCTCAACAGGACCCATCTCGTGTTCCGTTTTTGGTTGTTCCTCTTTGTCCTCTTCCTTCTTGCGCTTGAGGCAACTGAAGGCTCTGGACATGAATGCACGGAACGGTCGCCAGATCGCAAACCAAGCGGCACCTATTAGTGCAAAGAGGTTTGCGAACCAACTGTCCGGGATTTGTCGAATCAATGCACCCAAGGGAATGGACATGACGCCAAAGAGAAGACTCCATCCCCACTGGGCACCCGTAAGAGGGGTAGTGTCAAAGGCTTCGCCTCCCTTAAAAACGATGATGAATTGGCCAACAATAGTGATAAGCTGCACGCCAATGAACCAAACATTTCGCAAGATACCTTGGTACCAGATATCAATCTTGTTATCCACACGGCGACAGTTGTGTTGGTTGAAGAACTGCATCCATACGTAAATGTTGAGCACCAGCGTCTGAAGCTTCTCGATCTCGAATTCCGTATCGGGGTTGAAGGTATCCCAGCCGGCGTAATGGACGACAAAGACCACCGTCAACTGATAGATAGCTTGGCAGATGATCATCTTCCACATAGTGATGGAAATGATAGACGCGTTGCGAGGTTCAGGTTTGCGCTTCAGGAAGTCGGGCGATGGGTGATCGGTGGCATAACCAAGAGATGCAAAAATATCCATAATCAAGTTGATCCAAAGCAGTTGTACAACAGTGAAAACAGCATCGCCGACAAGCTCCGAAACGACGGTAATGATACATGCAGTGATATTGATAGTGAATTGGAACTGTAGTTTGTTAACTCAACGTTCGGTAGTGCAGCTCAAAAAACGTACCTGGCAGAACTTCTTGACCGAATCATTCACAGTTCGGCCCCAGCTTAGAGCCTTGACGATAGAAGCAAAGTTATCGTCAAGAAGAATGATGGATGCAGCTTCTTTCGCGACCTCAGTGCCTTGAATACCCATAGCAAAACCAACATCAGCTGCCTTGAGGGCCAGACCATCGTTGGTGCCATCACCTGTCACTGCAACCGTTTCGTTCATTCGCTTCAGATGAGTAACGAGAAGCAGTTTGTCCTCGGGGCTCGATCGGGCTAGCACTTGTAGTCTTGGGATAACAGCATCAAGTTGCTCTGGCTTGAGATCTCTGAAGGTCGGTCCATCCATGGCAATACCACCGGCGGTATAAATACCACACTCCGTGGCAATGGCCTTGGCCGTCAGGAAATTGTCACCTGTAACCATGCGAACGAACACTCCAGCAGCTTGACATTGGCGGACTGACTCTACAACTTCAGGTCGTAACGGGTCACGAATACCAAATGCACCAACAAAGATCATGCCAGACGCCAACCATTCCAGATTAATGTTATCGGGGTCCTCATCAGGGCCCTCAAAGATCTCTTGAGCCGTAAAGTCGCGGTAGGCCATGGCAACAGGCCGCAACATTCTGCCGGCGTAGTCTTCAATCGTGTTGCGATAGCTTGCGCGGTCACTTTCTGATAGGCGGGCGATTGGAAGTCTAAAGGTCGGATCCAGGATGACGAAAGCACAATACTCGAAAACAACTTCTGCGGCTCCCTTAACCAAGAGTCGATATCGATCATCATTAACCTTGACCAAAACGGCCATCCACTTTCGAGATGAGTCAAAGGGAAGAATGGCGATGATGGGACAGTTAGCTCGCTCCTCGGCCAAGTTACCCATACCCAAATGCTGACGACTGAATTGCAGCAATGCAGTCTCGGTGCTTGATCCCATAAAGGGCGAAGATGCGGAGTCGTCGGTCTCAAAAGCTGTAGAGTTGAGCGCGATGCTATCCTTAAGCAACCTTCGACAGTCAGGTGATAGTGATTTTGCGAGATCGATAGAACTGTCGCATTTGATGGTTGAAGCGCGTGACATGGATGCATCGGGATCCGGAGTGACAGATTCAGTGTCATCGAAGTAAGACTCGAGCCCAACACGTCCAACCACCACACTCATGTTGTTTTGGGTAAGAGTACCTGTCTTGTCAGAGCAGACAGTTGTCGCATTTCCCATAATCTCGCAAGAACGAATCAACCGAACCAGGTTATTGTCTCGAAGCATCCGTTTTGTAGCAAAGGCAAGGGCGATGGTCACATTGAGCGCCAATCCTTCAGGAACTGTGATTACAACAACCGTAACGGACAAGATCAGGATATGCAGGAAGTCTTCGGCTTTCTGAGATGGTCCACCGGTGATGCTATTGATGGTAGTCATGAAACGGATGAAGAGGATGAGGAAGAAGATGGAACCGGCAATGGCACCAATGGTGATGAGCTGCTTGCCGAGACGGCCAAGCTTTACCTGGAGTGGCGTTGCTTTAACATCGTCTCGCAACGACATCAGAATACGCCCGTAAGTTGAGTTGACTCCGACAGCAGTGACGATATAGGAGCCAACGCCGCGCGCAACAGTAGTTCCACTCAGAATGAAAGGGTCAGGTCGAGGATGGTTATGGCCCGGTACGCATTTGTGAACCAGTTCAGCTTCTCCAGATATTGAAGACTCGTTCATCTGCAGACTTGATGCTTGGACGAGAATGCCATCAACAGCAACGACATCACCAGCTTCAAGGTGCATGAGATCGCCGACAACAACCTCATGAACAGAGATGCGCTGTAGTCTACCCGATCGAACAACCGTCACATCCCTCTGTTGCTTCCGCTCATTGACCTTCTTGAACTTGTAATTCTTTTGCCAATCGGTCGCAGCGCTAGCTATGATGATGATGAGAATAGCAACTACAATGGTAACACCATCTACCCACTCAACACGCGATGCGCCTGACGAGTCGGTTGACTGGTAGATACCTATGGCGAGCGAGATGGTAGCGGATATCGTCAAAAGTATTATAAGCTTGTCGTTGAAAGCGATCCAGAGCAATCTGAAGAAAGACTTTTGTGCTATTTGAGGAAGGCGGTTATCTCCGAAAACACGTTTACGATCGACATAATGCTTATCATGATGTTCGAATAAGCCATTCTGGAGGAGCGGCGGCGATGGTGGAGGAGAAGCAGCGGTAATCACTGGCGGTCGTTCAAGGCTGCCGGAAGCTACGGCTTCGTCGAAGGTGACGGTGCCATCGAGAGTCGTTTCGTCAACGCTGAGTCCGGTCGAAATATCCGTACGCAGGCCGGCAGCTAAACCCAGCAAACCACCAAAGGCGCGCAGGGCTGGAATACTCCTTGTAGTCAGGAGTTTATGTAGTTGTGTCGGAGTGAAAGCGAAGTTGTTGCCCTGAACGTGGTCGTCGTCGTGCAAATCGAATGGCAGTTCGTTGTCGTCGGGCGCTTGGGAATTCATCGCGGTATCGTCTGTGGGCTGGTGTTGATTACCAGAGTTGGAAACAGAGTTGGACCCTTCGCCAGAGCCGCCATAGCGTGGATCAGATGCAGGTGTAATGTCGTCCATCAATGTATAAAGACGCAAAGTATGAAAGCAGCCGTGAATGGTACGGCCAAACCACAAAGTTGATTGTCAGACGCAAAGAAAGAAAGACGGAAGAAGTGAGCGGTTGATCAAAGATGGAACGGGGACCGTTGAGTGTGGAGGAAGCGCTGAACGGTACGGATAGGCGTGGGGGAATTGAATTGTTTTCTCACTGGGCTTTGTCCAGAATGCGTTAGAGCAGGAAAACAAAGAACCTTATTGAGAAACTCGTCATACCCGGGCGCTGGGTATCCACCGGGAAATGACCTGAAGTTGGGAGAAGGCCGTGAGTGGTGGCTTGGCTGACAATCTTTATTCTGGCTTTCTGGGGGTCCATGACAGAGACGCGCCGTATGCAGCAACAATCACCGGCGACACGTCGCTAACCCACTGTAACTGGTCCGCCTTATAGAAGGCGATGACCCCCCTAGCCCCCTGTGGGCTAATAAACTTTATCCATTTCGGAAAGGCCGAGACTCTCTGCGGTGCTCTAGCTTCTGTCCCGTTTCCTTTAGGTGATGTTGGAAATGCTTGGTTTTGCTGCTATCGCGTCTTGGCAATCATCTTGGCTGCAACGCTGTGTGGGTGACAGTTTTAGAGACGGTGGCTCTTTTAGTGAGCGGGAGTCGTCGTCATCATAGTATTTGGTGTCGATGTAATTGAGATGGTCATTGTCTTTGTTTTTATCCATGTCGTTGATTTAAGAATTATGTTAATGGGGAAGGAACATGAGGCTAACCCAACCGTGATGGAAGGAGGCCCAAATCAACTGCACACAGTGTCAAAACAGTCAGCCGGGATGGAAGGAACCTTCTCCACCAGTCTGGGGGCTCTGGCCTCTTTCTTTCCTACCCGTAGGCTGAATTCACCTGAAGAATAACAAAAAATCTTGGCTGCCAAGGATCTACTCTTTGTGAGGCCCCAAGGAGACAGTCACTGCCAAGTTTTGATGACGAGAATCCAACGACTCAGATGATGGCTGTATCATTTCAATTACTTCATTACCCAATGCTAATCTGGCAATGATCGAAACTTTGTTTGATGGAGATGTAGAGCGATTGATTAGATCTTGGAGCCAAGCATAGAAGAAGCATGGCAAGCATGGTCAGGGTCTTGTGGACATTCATTTGATTTGACTTGCAATAATTCAGAGGTTGGATGAGGTTCTGAGGTTCTCGCACTAAATGTTAGGCAACAAGCTTTCCAGTTCTGTCACTCCTTAAAGCCTCTTAATAATCGGAAAACACGCGGATCTTCAAAGCCTCAACGCTATGACATTCCGCAGCGGAATACTCAGCCCCGATTATCAACAGAATATCATACAGTTACTAAACCCAATGCAAGCCCGCCGTTGCACTCCAGCAGGTACAAAACCTTGAACTCCAATTCAAAAAAGAAAGACGTACAGCCACAAGTGCAATCCACGTGCAAATTAACACAAAACCTCCCCTACTCCACCAAGCCAAACCCCAATCCCCTATCTTTCGCTGATCTTCTACAGCCTCACATCTCACATGTTCACCATAACCCAATTCATCCTGTTCCTCCCGTTTGTCCTTCATACCAAATCCATCAATTGAACTCAGGAAGTACATGGGTCACAATCGTACCAAAAATGCTCGTGATGCTCTGTCCGTCACCTTCACTCACCATCTCCAACTTCACTAAAGACATCACCGTTTATCTTCATCACCATCATTTCTAGTCTAGCTTCAGGAACAAAAGCAAATCTCGTCTCCTCTGGCCAATTGTCATCCCTGTTCCTCCATCCGATCGCTTCGGCCCCCTGCCGGCCGAGACATGCATTCTGAGATAGATACTGCACGATTCTAGATATGCGTCACACGATGAATTTGATTCCCATCGAGCGGGAATATTTGCGTAACCTTGAATCCATGTCCAACCGACTTCCCCATCTAGACTGTTTGTTCTCCCGTGACACAAAGTAATGAATGGTAGAGACATAAGCCCCCAATTCAGTTGCTAGATGTTAAGCTTGAATCAAAGACATGGCCGCTGTCTTTCGCTTCCATCTCCAAACATTAAGCACATGGTGTCTTGACTTGTTTCGTTTCGTTCCAATACTCTTCACTTCTATACCGCATACTCGCCTCTTCCGATCTTGATGCCGGAACTGAATCTCTAAAGAAACACAATTTCCGTATCAAGATCCCGCTGCTGTCCTCCTCCCGAACCCTCGACCTGACTCGCTGACGGGAACGGTACGGAATGGGCGACATCCGATGCTCGATACCCGTTGGGGAAAAAAATTCTCCTCATCCCGTTTACGTCTCAGTTTTCCAGTTTCTATTGTAGGCTTGGGTTAGGGTAGTCTGACAGAGACATTGCATCCCATATGGCGCCCCTTGGATAGAATGTTTTGTGTACGACGGGTTCGGTGACGAAGGTCTCGAACTCGTTCGTGATCCATTGGTCTCAAATCGTATGTGAATGAGTTTGTGGGGAGATAAAGATCTTTGACTTCCCTCTTTCTTGAGATCTTGCTCAAAGCAACTCGAGGCGAGCTATTAACCATGGAGCTACTAAGATGTCTTCTGGCGATCTTCGTTCAAGTCAGTTTTCTGCCTTGTGTCTCTGCGTTACCGCGCTTCCTGGGCGGCAGAGATGATGAACCTATTGCACCTAAAGTCATGATCATATCAATGGTATGCGCCAGTATCATGTTCAAGGTCAATTCTGACATGGTGTTAGTGGTCTCCTGAAGCAGAAATCTGGCATACTCGTCTCCCAGACACTCATCTAGGCAACCTGTCAGCCAAAATTGTCCACTCACCAGGTCTCTCCATGTTATTCCCCTGTGCCACTTGCACCGAGAATGGCGATATCTGCCATCTCACCATCGGTGAAGGAGAAGTCAACTCAGCCGCCTCCCTAATGGCTCTCGTCCTGTCTCCCAAATTCGACCTGAGCAACACTTACTTTCTAATCGCTGGCATAGCCGGTGTCAATCCCAAGTACGGCACCCTAGGCACCGTAGCCCTCGCTCGCTACTCAGTCCAAGTTGCTCTTCAATATGAGATTGATCCACGATCTCTTCCGCCCAATTACCCCACAGGATATATATCATACGGTCGTGATCAACCGCATGAGTATCCCTTCATCACGTATGGCACTGAAGTTTTTGAACTCAACACTCAACTCCAAGAGAAAGCTTACAGACTAGCTTCCAAAGCTGAGCTGGAAGATGCCACTGGTCCAAAGCAGTATCGTGCGCTGTATGGCCGGATGGGCGAGTCGTATAGAAGCGCATCTCAACCTCCATCCGTCGTCAAGTGTGACACTGCTACAAGTGATGTATACTATTCAGGCAGCCGTCTTTCCGAGTCTTTCGAAAATACCACTCGAGTGTGGACGAATGGTACGGGAGTGTACTGTATGAGCGCCCAGGAAGACAACGCAGTCTTAGAAGTCCTAGTCAGGGCAGCAATTGAGAAAATCATTGACTTCTCCAGAGTCATGGTCTGTAGAACCGGTAAATCTCCTTTCTCACCTTATCCTCATACATCCCACTGACCCTCTCAGGCTCCAACTTCGACCGTCCCCCTCTCGGCCGCTCTGACCTAGAGCATCTCACAGCCGCGCAGCAAAATGGCTTCGGTATTGCGATAGCCAACATCTTCAATGCAGGTATCGAGATCGTCAAAGGCATCATCCACGACTGGGACACGACTTTCAAAGACGGTATCGAAGCGGAGAATTACGTGGGGGACATCTTTGGTAGCCTTGGAGGCGAACCTGACTTTGGTTTCGGAAGCCTAACTCGCGGAGAACGTATTGCAAAGGGCTGTAAAACGAATGGCATGGCTGCGAGGGAGATGGATAGGAGGAGGATCTTGACACAGAAGTCTTTGAGAAAGGTTTAGAAGTTTCTTATAAGATTGATAGGTGGTGTGTCGTGCTTCAATTGCTACTTTTGGCGTCTGAGATGGGATTCCCAAATATGTATTATGTACGGTGGTCGAATGTACTATTTATTTTATGTGTTTAATATATACCCTTCTCGTGCGACCATCTTCTGATTTCGCCATACCAAGCCATGCAGGCTATCCTTTCGCTACGTAGTATATGCATTCTGTGAGACCAAATGGTCTTGTTCAACGTCAATCTATGGCCAAAGTCAACTCTCTTTGCCCCTCAACATGCATCAACAAACACACTTCATTATCATCACAAAACATCATCTTGCATCACCTCAAACCTTTTTTCCCCTATTACCAAGGGCCCTCTGTCCAGATGTCGTGTTGTCTCGCCACGCACAGCGTCTCCCAGCCGGACGCAACCCAGAGCACTGTGAAGTGAAGCACGAGAAGGATCAAACTCATACCGAGTCCCCACGCGCGTGGTCCGTTCGAGAAATAATCCCCATGGCCTTGTATCAGCATTGGGGGGTAGCTTGTTACTTGTGGTAGACCGAGGTCAAGAGCCGCTACACCAATGAGAGGAATGGCTACGTTCAGTTGGGCCATGACGGGCCAGCAAGGACGCAGCAGAGTCGTTACTTTGATGCCGAAGAGGCCAAGGCGAAAGATGTAACTTAGTAGTGGAGAGTGTGGGCCTGCGAAGTTCATGAGACGGATAATTAAAACGGTCACTCTTCGCCTCAAGGCATCAGCTGCCGTGCTGGGCGGTGGCATGAGGAGCGGAGGACTCTGGGAGTTTCGTCGCTCGTGCATTTCTGCTTCGGACGCGTCACTGACGCTGACTGCTGGGGTTACGAGGGAACTACGGCGACTTTCCTGGCTGCGAGAAACAACCATGGAATGCGACCCACGATGTCGTGACAAGGACTGGCGATGCGGATCGAGTCGAGAACCCTGTGAGTTCTTCGTGGGCGACAAGTCTCTCGAGGTTGATCTAGCCAACGCCCCGAGTTCTTCAAATTTGCCCTGCCCTGATGTCTGGTTACGGTGTCGGGGACCTACAAACCAGTAAGAGTAAAGTTGGTTAGAACACGCGATTGAGAAAGCTTACCTGGGACTGGAGTGCTTGGAGGAGCAGGTGAGTCTAGATTTTGGATTCGAGTCCCGATGCCAAGATTTGGTGCAGGCTCTTGACCTGCACCATTATCAAAGCTGACAGACTCTCCCCTCATGGCTTTGAGTACCTCGTTGGCGCTCGGTCTGTCTGCAGGGTCGAGAGCTAGTAGTCTCTTTAACAACTGGTAGAGTCTCGGTGGTAGATCAGGTCGTTCACGTCGTTCATCCTGGAATCCTTCCCACTGGGTGATCTCTGCTCGAAGCTCATCCACATCCTCAAGCTCTTCCTGAAGAGCATTCGAGTTCTGGTATGGAAGTCTCCCGAAACACATGAAATACAAAATCATACCGAGTGAGAAGATATCCGACTTCGTCGTGAAGTTTGCATATCGTCCCGACATGGCGTCCATCTTCAGAACCTCGGGGGCACAGTACGAGATGGTTCCAGTGGTGCCAGAGGATTTGCGGACAACATTCTCGGGCTGGACCTCACCAAAGTCGCTGATAAGGCAAATTGTTCTGCCACCCTCGCGGTGCATCAAACAGTTGCTTGGCTTCAGATCGCGATGGATGTAGTTGGCAGCATGAAGATATGCCACGCCAGAAGTAATGTCCTTGAACAGGGAATAAATCTCCTCAACAGATAATACCCGATTGCCGTTCAACAAGTCGACGGGAGTTTCGAGCTGGCCTTTTGACCTGCGACGCATTTGCGCTTTCAGCTCTTCCTTGGTCGCTTCACGAGGTGCGCCTCCTATAATGTACTGGTGAAGGTCACCACCATTGCAGTACTGTTGTAGAATGAAGGCGCAGGCGACACTGGGGCCGAAGCGGGTAAGTCTAACGTCTTCCAACCAGACATGTCGGTAAGAGACAAGGTTTGGGTGGGAAAGTTTAGCAAGCAGTTCGACTTCGATGAGAACCTTCTCAAGCCATGCATGATCGTCTCCAACAGGAACTCGTTTGCAGGCGAATTGACCCAAAGCGCACCCATCAATCTCGTGTCGCACAAGAAGCACAACACCCTTGCCACCTTGGCCCAGTACTCTTTCTTCGACGAAAAATGTGTTGAAGTAGTTGGGGCTGAATGCATCTCGCCGTATCCTGCTGCCTTCTGCTTGCGCAACACCAGGTGTACTCGACACAAACTCGGCTTCCTCGGGAGCTGGAGAAGGTGTCCTCTGGCGTGTACTCGGGCTGCTGCCAACGCCGAGAGAAGGTCCGAAAATCCTCCTCACAGGACTTGGAGGTCCATGGTCGGTCGAGGTGTCGTTATTGTTGACGGCGCGGAGCATACGAAAGTAATCGGGGTCGACATAGGTCTCTTGGCGGGCGCCAAAGGAACGATCGTATCCCCTGTCGGGATCATTCTCGGAACGAGTAAGAGGTTGATGACATGTTGGACAGGTAGAGATGCCTCTGATTTCGAGTCGATGGGATTGAGAGTCGCGGACAACAATAGCGTTATGATGCCGGCTAAGGACCAGGGGTTAGCTTGAGCTTGAGCTTGCGATGAGAGCTAAGAAAATGACGTACAGCACAATCTCTCGGCCCTCGTGGGGCTGGTAGGGGATAAGTGACATGTCGGGTGCTGGTCTAGCGATGGCATGTGCTTGTAGCGGGAGCGGGAGCTGGAGCGTCAGATGCTGAAGCCAGCATGGCACTCATGGTAAAGAAAAGAAGGTCAGGCGATAGAAAATTCGATGTTGTTCTGTTTGGAGCTGGGATGGGATTGGATGTTTTGGTCAGTTCAAGTGGAAATGGAATGCGGATGGAAGTGGAAAGTTTCGCGGGGAAGCTTTGTTCAGTGGAGCTGCCTGTACTGTTGATCATTGAGGCTGCAGCTGATTGACTGACAGGGGAGGAACCTAGAGCTGCGAACCTCCCGTCACCTCATGGAAAGTAACGTCGATAAAACCATATTCCAGTGCAATACGAGACATAGTAAGAGAATCTACGTTGGATATATGGATATACACACATGATCTTGTTAACCTAGGCGTATTGCCTGGGTTTGGTTGCGTATAATGACATGGCATTTGTAAATTGGCTATTGGAGGCTCGACTCAGACAATCATAGGATCCAATCAATTTGCACGAACACACGTAAGAAGCTCACAACTCGAATTATGTAATGTTTGACACCAATGAATAAGTAGAAATAAAGAGAATACAAACATCTCATGTAAGTGATGCCTCAAAATTGCCGTTACGCTTCAATGTTCCAGAATTTGGACAAGGTTCTGTGAAGGTCTAGGGTATGCCACCTTCCATTCTACGCGTCTTGCTCATTCCCTTTCAGCTCACGCAGCCTGACCAACACGATTCCCACCTTCCATTCCTTCCACACGTCTCAATACCTTCTCGTTTCCAAACCTCTACTTTCTCATGGTTAATAATGACAGATCTCCGACAGGCTTGTGATAGATGTCACAGCAAAAAGCTTCGATGTACAAAAATCCCACCTTCCTCAGTTTGTGCTCGATGTGTCAAAGCTGGAGTTGCCTGTATCTTCAGTCCTCCCACGCGTTCTCTCCGCAACCCCAACAATGTTGCCTTTGACTGGAGCATACTTGGCTTAGACCAAGAAGTTATCGACCCGCAAAACATAGATCACCTAATAGCGATACCACCTGCCAACGACAATACTGGCCAAGCCCCGTCTGCTCAAGTCACTTTAGTGTCACAATTGACTGATCTTATGGTCGCCTTCGACCGTATGCTGGATAACTATTCTACACTCCAAGCACAGCATCTTACCATGCGCGAACTCAACGATCTTAGCAAAATTTGCGGATTTGATCTCGGGCCATTCCTCGAAGAGTTACTTCAACGCTCTCAAAAGTTGGTCCACTTATACCCTCAAGTTCTCAAAAGGCTTGTACCCAAGGAACCAGAGCCTTGCAATACTCCAGATTGTGTACATAACCCGCATCTACCTTCGCACTCTCAACGTGAAACTCCAATCGATCAGTCACTTATTCACCTGTTACTGGCTTGCCACCTCAGGCTACTGGACCTGTTCGACAACATGATTAATCATGGACGCATGTGTGCTCACGCAGCCCCGTTGTTACCCCCAGGCTGCGAACCGAATTTGGACATCCCAGAGATCAAGATAGGTTCATTTGTTGCACCAAAGATATCAGCGGCATCCATGATGGTAGCGATGTTGCTTGAGATTCAGGTATGCCTCAACGTCAAAGCCCAGGAGTTACATGATGCAGTTTCATCCAGCGTTGGTCGCAATGCGAGAGCAGCAAAGATCCTCGGCTTGCAGTGCGAGTCTTTGAGAGAACATGCCTCGACAACTTCTACAGATCTCCGCTCTCTTCGTGAGCATCTCCAGGAGTTAGGTGTCATTGGCTAAACGGCAATGAATCCACCGGCGACCAATGCTCTCCCTAAGGACTACCTCTGATTCGAAGATTCCTTCTGGGGCGCAGTAAGGGACAGGTCCCAAGAATTGGGGAGGAGATCCATACATTTGCAAACTTGGTCTTCATTATGGAGCTGAACTGAATCCAGATCTGCGAAATGGTCGATATGCAGAGTGCCGAAATCAAGTAACCGACTCTCATCAATCCCGCAGCAGCTCTGACGATGTTTCCAGAACCCCGGCTCTCCCGTTTCTGTTGCTAGCGCCAAGCGTTAATCGGGACCATTAAGATTGCATATGGGTCAAACCAGTCTATCGATTGTTCTAGCCTTATATCGTCACTGGCGTCCTTTCAGCTCCGCTTGCACGCAGCGAACATTGTTGTTTGTCGATTTATCTGCGTAAACAGGTCTCCAGTGGAGATGCCTTTAGGTTGAAACAATCCCATGTCAAGCCACATTCACGAGCAAGAGATTGAAGGCAAGAAAATGCAGGAGAGCCAAGATACATGGGACGATTCAAGGACTTCTTCGCGTTCTCATCGCTTAGCAAAGCGTCCGGGTGTTCCCCCTGTCATGACATGTTTCTTCGCATTTGCCAAGTCTGAGGCTTCGAGCTGAAATTGAGCCGTGCTCACATGTCAATCTCTTGGAGCAAACATTTTGCGGGCCTTTGATATCACGGTCCAGAATGATAATCCTTCAGCATTCTGTTCGGCCGAGTCTCCTACGTCACTGAGGCTTCTTTTGCTGCATCGCGATCAATCAAGATCGAACCGTCGATAGTTACTCAATAACGCCGACCAGAGCTGAAGTTGACAGTGGGAGAGGCGTCACCGACAGGCCGGGAAATGTCATCGTCCCCTTTGTGCAGCCACGGAAAGCCACGGCGTTTTCTGATTAATTGCAAAAGACGCTAATGGTCGAAGACTGGGGTTGGAACACTACGTACCCGCCATTCAGCTGTTGATCTCCTTTTTCACTGCCAAATCGATCAGAACCCTATCAGGCATGAGCCGATCAAGGTCTCGGATTATCGGCATCGGTTAAGAGATTCTGAACCTGTGTTTTGTCGGTTGGTTGCTTCCTTCAATTGTGGAATTACGTTCCCGGACCAGGTCAGCTCGACAAGCTGCAGCTTCTCTTGGCCGTCAGGTTGTGGATATTTGTGGCGTTGATAGTACGCCGCTAAGAGGAATCGGATTCAAGGAAGATCGATTCACGAGAAAGATGTCTAAGACTATATTATATAAACCTGAACAGCGTCGAAAGATTATCATATGGTCGAGAAGTCATGTCGGACTTCAACCTGCCTCGCAATCTCAAGCTTTCACTAGAGATAATTTCATCCCGACTTTGACTGTCTCTCCTTATGACTGTTAGTGTCTTCACTACCCACTGCCTAACAACTCCATCCTATTTCCCTTGATAGGTCTCTTATCGAAATGTTTCATCTTATTTCCCATAGCTTGGCCCGGGCGTTACAAACTCAGCCGCCATCAAGAAAGCACCCCTGACTAAGTCAACGTCGCTTGCCACTAACACAATTCTACATGTCCAATGACGACCAAGAAGACGGACCACCACCGCAAGCTATCGATTTACCCAACCCAGATATGGAGATAGCCTCAGTGCCAAGTAGAACTGCTCTTTCCTTCCTCCTCGCTAGCATGAGCTGAGCTCCAGAATTAGAAGACTGCGAAGGATGAACCGTCAGTCGTAACGGTCCGGTGTGGCTTCTGTGAATACAGGTGTTGGTCCGCGGTGGATTACGTTTTGTTAGTATCTCGTCGGTGGCGATGGGATGTGGGCGAGTCGGTCACTACCGTCCAGATTCCCTCAGTCTGTTTGATGAATCTATATATCTGAGTTCTCCCGTTCTCTTCTTGAGTTGTTTCCTCAGCGGTAACACTCCTTTCCTTTTTGCTGTTGCTGTGCATTCCCTTGTCACTCGTTAGACATTTGATACTCCAACTTCATTCACTCTCTTTGAATCCCGGGACTTTATTCCCATTCCAATCGTTATCACAACAGTCTAATACACCCTCCTTTCAAGATGCCTTCCACCAAGGTCTTCGCGGCCGTCCTGGCTGCCCTGGCCGTCCCCATGGTCAGCGCCAGCCCTTGCAAGCCAAAGGCCCCCACCACCACCGACGCAGCTCTTCCTGGCATCACAACCTCTGAGACTGTCACTGCTCTTACATCCAGTGCTCTTACATCTGGAACCGAGACCGGCACCGCTACCACCGCGACTTCTCCTGCCGCCACCACCACCGAGGCTGCTTGCTCTCAGTTCACTCCTGTCGAGCCCCAGCCTGATAACTGTGGCAAGACAGGCACTGCTCCCAACTGTGCTGATAAGATCATCGGCACTCCCTCTACTTGTGTAGACTGGCAGGAGTGTGGTAACACTTGTGGCAAGACCGTCGGCTGCAAGTCTTTCTCCGTCCAGGGAAACACTTGCACACTCTACGAGACTATCATTGAGGAGCTTGGCTTCACTCCCGGTCTCGGCTCACACAAGTTCTACGATCTTGAGCTTTGCTTCACATGTGCTGAGGAGTCTTCCGCTACTTCTGGCACCGAGACTGCTACTGGAACTCAGACCACTGAGACTGCCGCTGGTACTCAAACCACCGAGACTGATACCGAGACTGCTACTGGAGCCCAGACCACCGCTACTTCTGGTACTGAGACTGCCACTGGTACTGAGACTGCCACTGGTACCGAGACTACCGAGACTGGTATTGACACTGCCACTGGCACCCACACCACTGAGACCGCCGCTGGTACTCAAACCACCGACACCACCACTGAAACTGGCGCCGGTATTCAGACCACCGAGACTTCTGCTGAAAGCTCCGCTGCAACTCAGACCACTGAGACCTCTGCTGCTGCCAACACTGACACCACAGAGACCGCTACATCTACTGAGACCATCTCTGAGTCTATCTCTGAGTCTGGCACAACTACTGCTGCTGCTACCACCACCACTACCGAGGCTGCCTGTGCCGCTTATACCCTCAAGGCCGACGCTCCCACCACTTGCGGCAAGTTCGGCAAGCCTGCTTCCAACGCTGTCTACGAGCCACTCGGTGAGGATGTTGATGGCAACGCCTACGCCAAGGACTGTGCTATCAAGTGTGCCGATCTCCGCCTCGAGCTTAACCCTGAAGCACGATGCCGGTCTTTCTCTTTCAAGGATGGTGTATGCAAGTTCTACAGCGCTCCTGTAAGTGAACTGCACATCGAGCAATGCTCCCTTACCGATGGTGCCCACTTCTACGACTTTGTCGATTGTTACTCTTGCCACGAGGATGCTGCTCCTACCACCACCACCGAGACCGCTGCTGAGACTGGTACTACTTCCACTGAGGTCATCGCCGAGTCTGACACAACTACCACTGCTGCTGCTACCACTACTACTGAGGCCGCTATTACTTCTTCTACCGAGGCTGCTGATACTACAACTACTGAGGCTGCCACCACCACCGCTGGCGCCTGCACTGCTGGCTACACCACCATCCCTGGTGCCCCTATTGAGAAGTGCAACGTCGAGGGCATGCCTAGCAATGGCGAGCAGAGTATTGAGACCTGCACGGTCAGCGGTCCCGATGAGTGCGCTGCCAAGTGCGCTGCCAATGAGCAGTGCAACACCTTTGCTTATTACTCTGGCATGCACCACTGCAAGCTCTTCTCTGAAGAGATCGGCGAAATGGGCATCGCTCCCTGTGATGGCGACATCTGCCCGGTGGATGGATTCTTCTACGACGTGAACGCTTGTTACGCCAAGTGCGATGGAGATGCTTCTCCTGCCACCACTACCGAGACTTCTGATGCTCTCACCACTACCACTGGAGCTGCCACCACCACTACTGAGGCCGCTATCACTTCTTCCACCGAGGCTGCTGTCACTTCTTCCACCGAGGCTGCTGACACCACTACCACCGAGGCCGCTGTTATCACTACCACCACTACCGAGATGGAGACTTCCACCACTGAGGCTGCTACTACCACCACTGAGGCCGCTCCCGTCTGCACAAACTACATCCCCAAGCCTGACCGTCCCAGCTCTTGCGGCAAAGAGGGCCGAGTTGCCTGCAGCGATTCCGAGAAGCTTGGCAACTCTTTCTATGCCTACAACGCCGACAAGTGTGGTAAGGTCTGTGGAACTACTGAAGGTTGCAAGACCTTCTCCTACAAGAGGAGCAATTCTAAGTGCCAGCTCTACAAGTCTGCCCTTGAGAGCCTCCAGTTCCGTCCTTGCACCACTGGCGTCAAGTTCTACGACCTTGAGAAGTGCTACACCTGCCAGAACGAGGTGACTCCTAACCCTCCTGCAACTTGCTCCAAGTACGTTCCCAACTTCGCCAGCTGTGGCCAGAACACCCACTGTGGTACCCCTGGCACCATCTGCGAGGAGGAGCGCATCCCCAACGCTGGTGATGCTTCGTGCCTTGAGAACTGTGCCAAGAGCTGTATTAGCTTCGGCGACGAGTGCAAGTACTTCAGCTACAGGCCTGCCTCCAACCGCTTCTCCGCCAAGTGCAACTTGTACAAGCGTGGCAAGATCAACAAGAACTACCAGTATAGCACCAAGTTCTACGAGAAGCCTTGCTTCAAGTGCCAGAACCAACCTCAGGTTCTCTAAGCGGATCACACGCGTGAGAAGTCTTGGTTCGGGTTTCACGATGAGTCGAGAAAAAGCATTTCTTTCATTTTTCTATGACTGTACGATTTTGAGGAGGATTCTTTAAACAGCATTTTATGTAATTATTTTTCATCTACATACCTTTAGATATGAACATATGACCTGGGCAACCATTATTTTGTCCCTGATCGAAACATCGTGACTTCAAGTTCAACATGTCGTGAAAATGCCATGAACAAACAGTGAAGTGAGATTATTTGTGATTCTATTTATGGAATCATCTCAAGATGTGTATTCGTCTATTCGTCATAACCATCTAGCTCGGCAACTTAGAGTCTTTTCCTCTGCTCCTCATCTAGTCGTATGCAATTGTTGTACATGTTCTATACATTGTTTTACAGCCCACCACCATCAAGCAAAACTGGTTTTGTCTTCTCCAGCTTCTGAACTAAGGGTGAGTTACCTTCTAGAACCCCCATTCTGAAGCACCTCAGTCCTTCAAGAGCACCTCACCCTCTTTCTCTAGCTTCTCTCGTTGCTCTTTCTCCTCCTTCTCCTTATTAATCTTGGCCTGTTTCCATGGAGGAACCTTGGGCTCTCTTTTCATAACCACTGCACCCATTGTTAGCACAACATCCTAATAACTCATGGGGATGACTTACGTCTTTGGAAAAGATCATAACTCGTAACCAAGAAAATCGGCATTCCAACCATAAACTTCAACCAATTCCTCTCCAGTTGCTTATACCTCCTCTTATAATCCTCCTTCTCCTTCTTTTCTTTCTCCTCTTCCAACTCCTTTTTCGAGAACACCTTCCTCTCTGACTCTCCACCCTGTTCTCGCTTTTCTCTCTCCTCTTTCATCCTGTCTAGTCGTCTTTGTCTCGCTTCTCGTAGCTGTTCCTCTCGCTCCCTGGCCAAAGCGGCCGATTTCTCTTGTAACCGTTGCTGGAGGTCGGAAGATTGTTCTGACGTTGTGGAAGTTACACGCACTTTCGAGGGCTTCTCGCTGGGTGCGGCATTACTGTTGACACGGCGGTTATTTGGTATCGTTGTTGAGAATGCGCATGTTGGTGGGGATCGTGGGTTGCAGCGAGATGGGCATTCGAGACGGGATGATCGCAAGAGGGCTTTTGAGGCCACTTTACGTGGCGCGAGACGTAAAGACATCGTATTAGCGTAGTTAAACGAGCGACTCGGGTATGATAGACCGGCGACGGAGTGTTGTAGAGTTGTAGAACGTCGCCAAGAATTAAAGATTGACGGACCTGAGTCGGAAAAAGATCGTCAATTCCTTATCGATAAGAGGAGCAATTGAACTGTCACTGAGCTTCAGCTTCAGCTTCTAAACATTTCACAATTTATACACGACAGTATTAAAAATCATATTTGATCGATTCTTGAATGCCAACTAGCGTCTTGCTAGACAGTATGTTTTAATTATACAATTAATAAATCTTCCCAAACGCCTTTTGCAGTCATCCACCATGTATACACCCTCGTGATGGTTCTACGTTCAGTCTTATACTACCTCCAATCAATCGTCATCCGTGTATCGAGGACCAGTGGCTGCAGGGGTCTCTGGTGGTCCGTAAGTGGCTCCAGGCGTGGGAGCGCCGTAGTAACCAGGTGTAGGAGCTCCAGCTGGAGTAGGTGCTGAGTCTGCTCCCCATCCACCTTGCCAGCCACCAGGTGTTGGTGCGCTGATGGCAGCGGGTGTAGGCGCCGAGTAAGCACCAGGCGTGGGTGCGTTCATGGCACCGGGAGTTGGGGCACCAAGAGCACCGCCGGGCGTAGGGGCATCGTACGAGTTGGAACCCCATCCATCACCACCGCTGGCTCCAGGAGTTGGCGCACTAACTCCCCAAGCAGGAGTCTTGGATCCCGAGCCCCAGCTATCGCCTCCACCATATGCCGGTGTACGTGATCCAGCACCGAAGGCATCACCAGGAGCAGGGGTTCTTCCACCAGCCTGCCAGGCGGGTGTGCGTCCACCAGATCCGCCGTAAGCAGTACGGTTGCCGTCATAGGGGTTGACGGTTCGTGAGCCATCTGCCCAGGCTGGTGTTCGGGCGCCTGACATATCTGGGCCCTTCCAAGCGGGTGTTCGTCCACTTGCAGCAGGTGCTATATCATGTTAGCATTATGAAACTATACCGAAGACAGATCAACTTACTTCGTGAACCCCAAGCAGGCACTCTGTCAGAGTTACCACCTGCCATGGGTGTGCGAGAGCCGCCCTGCCATCCTGGCACACGGTCGCCGCCGCCGCTGCCGCCACGTCCAGCACCACCACCATAACCACCGCGACCTCCCCGGCCGGCGATATCAATGGTGGCTCCAGTCGTCTTGTTCTTGAAGCTCAAGTTTTCCTTGGGCACAGTGATGGTCTTGCTCTTTGTGTGCAGCTCGACACGAGCATGTGTGTCAGTGGTGTCCTTGACAATACCCAGAAGACCTTTGTAGGCTCCCTTCCTGATAATAACAGTCTGTTCAATCGCCTTGTCCCGGCCAAAAGATCTCGGTTGTTGTTGAACAGGCTTGTTCTCACTTCCATTCTTATGGAGCTTGAGCGCTGGGTTCATGGCTGTCAGATCAGGCCCGGTCGATGCGGCGGTGTTGACTCGGCCCCCCTTGGCAGCAATGGTTTGGACCATGTTGGCCTTCGTGACAAAAACACCAGCATGCTCCTTGTTATCGTTGGTATGTAGGAAGATGTATGAACGATGAATGTGGATAATCTTGCCCTGACGCTGCTGGCCAGTGTATTCCTTGACGACGTCTTCGAGCCTAATCTCAGCACCATGTCGATCAACAGCCACAGCTGTCTTTCGCTTAGGAATCTTGTTGGAAATCTGGGATGGCATAACCTGGCGAGGTGTTCCGAATTGATCGAGGACCATAAGTGATTCGCGATCAACCTTAACAACACAACCCACAGTTGTGGGATCGAGCTGTACCAAATCTTGTAGTGAGTACTGACCCAGAGAGCCTTGGCCACCAATATCACTGGCTTCGCGCAAATCTTTGCTGAAGACTGTGATTTCATTGTTTGTCTGATCTGTCAGGAGGGTGACCTTGTCCTCGTTGATGGCGACAACCATTCCAACCTCATCTCTGAACTTGCTTCCGCCAATGACCTTGACATGGTCACCAACGTTGAAGCGCTTGCGGAGTGCTCTGATAGGAACGTCAATCTCCTGCCCAACAAGTTCACCTTCGGTAACAGTGATCGAGACGACATCGGAGTGAACGCGCATCGCCTTACCGACAACACCCTTCTGCTCACCAGTATAAACCTCGACGATATCACCTGGGAGGTAGGTAGCCAGCGCATTGCTATCCTTGAGACTGTGGGCCAGCGCCTTAAGATCGAGGTTCTCAGTTCCGTCCTCAGCTCCTGAAGCGAACCTGGTGACCTCTTCGAGAGAGGGGTTCACGTCGGTAACTGTGAGTTTGTCGATAGCGATATCCCTGACTTGGAAGCCATTCTCGAATTCTTCGTTGTTGTATGTCCAAGTACCAGCGGTAGGGTTTCCTTGGAGGGCTCTAGGGTTGCGCTTTCGGGCTTCCACCTCGCTAAACAGTCTTTGAGGAGGCTTAGGGACACCAGCACCGCCGAAAGGTCGCTTGCGCTTGCCATCGGCAGTCAAAGATGAGTCTCGCATGCCATAGTCCAATCGAGGGATGAATCGAACGCGAGCTTCCAGGCCGTTCTCAGTAACATCGATGACCTGAGCAAGATCACCGTTGTGCTTCGGGGGTCTTCGAAGACGGACCCAGGCTCCGGGCTCCAGAGTAGGGGTCTTAGAAACACGGAACAGCTCAGGCATATCCTTGAGATCAACCAGGATCATCTTGGAATGGGGATAGACGTTCATCATGCTGTCCAACCCCTTCAAGATGTCGGTTTGACGACGGGCTTCAACATAGATGAAACCCTTCATGATGGAGTCGGTACCTCCACGTTCGAACGCAGAAAGGATGGCGAGTTCATCCTTTGTACCCACTCTCTCCTCAATGCGCTTCATGATAGAGAAGACAACCTCTCGTTCTTTTCCTTCCTTACAACGAACGGCCCAAATGCTAGGGTCGTCCACAGTAGGGAGGAGCAGTCGCTTGGGAACCACCGATGCGTTGCTGATGCCTCTGCCGGAGCGCTTGTTGCCGTATCTCTGTCGCAGAATCTCTGCCTGTTTCTCGGCATCCATACTAGAGTCCATGTCCCTACGGCGATCGAGTTCACGATGTCGTCGGTCATCGTCAATACCGGTTTCCGCAATATCGTCTGGGTGATCGTTGGTGATGAAGTCTCCTATCTCTTCGCCCAGTAGTTCGTCATCCTCGCCCTCGTCTTCATCGTCGACTTCGGCTTCGATATCGAAGAAATTGGCACCTCGCTCCTTTCTGCGCTTTCTGCGATGGCCCTAAAAGGGGTCAGCATCTACCAAGAGAAGGTAGGCAGCAAACGCGCCAGGATGGATCAAAGTCTCCTTACCTGTTGAATATCTTCGTCCTCATCATCTTCCTCTTCCTCTTCATCCTCCTCGTCGTCATCGTCGCGACGTCTGCCACCGTCTTCCTCTTCCTCTTCTTCTTCTTCCTCCTCCTCATCGTCATCGGCGGCGTGTCGCGATTTGGAGGGTCGCTCATCCTCGTCATCGTTATCATCGCGAGCGACGGGGCTGCTTCCACGCTTCACTGGCTTTTGGTCGCCATCTTGTTCTTCGTCGGATAGATCTGCAGGCGCAGGGTTGAAATCTTCCTCGTCCTCAGAATCGTCGAAGCGCGAAGGATCGTGAGAAGACATTGTGGCGAGGGAGCCGCGACACGTAGCGTGTCTTTGGTGTTTGTCTGGTTGTTTGTCGCTCGAGTTTGAAAGAATTAAAGAAAGATTAAGTGACAGCGATGCGAGAAGAGAATATTAAAGGGTATTTGATGGATGACAAAGATGAACAATGAAAGAAAGTCAAAGCAGCTCCGAGTAATGTTAGAGCTCCAGACGGTAAAATGCCGGGCCTTGTGCAGTGCATTATTTCATGAATAGTGGGTCCAGGATTGTGCAGAGTTCAGCTCACTGTCATGCGTCAAAGTATGGGGTTTTTAGAGATGGTTGGGCTGTGATTGACTGTAGAAAAGCTAAAATGAATATTTACTCCAAGTTCATATGGATGATTATAGTTCTTTGTACTCACGTTTTTTCAAAGCATAAAAACTTGCATGTCAGAGCGGCGCATCTTGATGCTTTGCTCACACTCAATGTCCATATACCCACCACCTGGTTCCCTGCGCTGTGGCAAACATCAATGCTTTCCACCGTCAAAGCGACCACTTGTTTACAAGTAAAATAAAAATATAGAGTTAATGAATAGGATTTAGATGCATAGAACTGAGCTAGCTTAATGTACATCTCCCATTCCCAGCCCAAGACTGACTTGAGGTGCGATACGTGAAAGCTCAACTCGACATACCCTACAGACTTAACATCATATCTTTCTTGCAGACATATATGAACAGTATGCTCTGATCGTAAATATTCAGCAAATTTTCTCATCATCTATATATACTCCAACGCTAGCCTCCAATGTAATCTGCGTTCTATACTTATACTGTCCCCCTTCTCCGGCCAGACTTTGAGATCTCATAACCCAAGCCTTGACAAAACTTATACACTAGAGTTTCTTCCAAACCCAGCCTCATTTCACGACTCGATTCGATTCGTTTGCCTTGGACGGGAGCGCAAATTTCCGGATATAGGTTTGTGTTTGTTTTATATCGTTCAAGACCCCTTTCAACCGCCGCCCACGTTTTGTTCCCGCCAACCAGAGTATGTCGCAGATGCTCCAAACCAACTTGAACTTTCAGAAACCCTCTTAAAATAATAACTCCAGGCTTTGCAGAATGCAATGTACCGTACCTTTAAGTAGCCATTCTACGTGATTCGAGCAACGTTTTCTGGATCATCGCCAGATGCCATGCTCTACGTATTATAAATGACACCAGCCTGCCCATTACTGTGTCTTCACATGACTCTTGTTCCCCAGATACCACGTCCAGCGCCAACACCGAGCCACTCGCCATAGTCGGAGTTGGGGAGTTGAGGTACCCAGCCCAAGTTGCCAATCTCGTAATCGCATTGCCAGGCGGCAACGGGGCTTTTGGGGTTGTCTTGTTGAGGAGTGCCATTCAAGGGTTGACCTGAGTTGTAAATATCCCACAAGAGAACCTGGCAATCGTCACCGCCAGAAGCAAGCATTCCTCGTCGATGGGGCGACCATTCGATGCAGTTGACGTTTCCACCATGTCCACGCAGCTCGAGCAAGGCCTGGCCAGGTTGTCGCACATCCAAAATTCGAACAACGTTGGTGTCTTGAGCGAAGGTAGCAAGAAGATGGGTATCATGAGGAGAAGTAGCAAGGCGAAGCAGAGGTGGAGGGTTGGCCATCGTTTGCTGGGCCAGTGTCGGGCTAACACGGCCACCGTTGGGGTCTATTTAAAAGTCAGTACCGGAGAGAAAAGACAAGTATGCGCCAAACTTACCTCGCTCTTCCTTGCCTGTTGGCTCGTAAATAATTGTAGAGTGCTCCAGGCTTCGAAGATCGAACATGCGGACACTACCATCCTGACCACAGCTGACAAAAACATCCACACTTTTGGCGCAGAACCTAACATCGTAAACCTCTTTGTCGTGGGCAATGAGTTGAGTCTTTGCCGTGAGTGAGGGAATATCCCAGATGGTACATGTCGTATCTATGCTGGATGTAATGATAAGACTGGGAGAGACGGTGTTCCAATCGAGTGACGTTAGAGGCGCGGTATGATCCGGTGTCTTCGAGTTGGACAGTAAAGCGAGAGGGGTTAACTTGGTGGTGGGATTGTCGCGACGGCCGATGGTACCACCAGGTGTAGAAGGGTTGTTCTCACTAGGAAGAGACCACAATCGCAAGTGGTCGCCCGAAGTCGCGAGCAGGTCAGTAGACTGCTTCTGCGACGATGGCGGCTCCCATAGCAGGCGGGTCACAGGGTAAGAGTGGGTAGCTTCGGCAGCTTTGGTGAACTCAAGGCTATACTTGGATGAACCAGGAGTGTAGACGTCCTGAGGAGTCGGCGCGATATGACTATCGAGGATTTGAATCTATCACCGTTAGCTGTTGGACACGAGAAATTGTCGCCTTGCATGACGCACAAAGTTATGTCCATCTTCCAAGTAGCTCCCCACAGCGAGCTTGCCAGCACCATTACCTTGAGCAGGCCACTTGCACCAATCGAAAGCGTAGATAGCCCAAGGCGCAAGGTAATTGCTCGTTCCTGGTTGGGCATTATTGGCATCATAGCTCATAGCAGCTCCTGTCCCATCGGACATGCTCGAGTCGGCGCGGGGACGAATATCAGCTAGGCCGAGCGGGGTGTTGGAAACGTTGCGCTGAGATCCTGGGGCATTGTACCGGGTAGTATCGATTGGCGACATGAGATGCGAAGACGAAGCACCGCTAGGCGTCGTGGGAGTATATGCGTGATAGCTTCCAGAGGAGCCATCGTAGCCAGCGGCTGGGCTGGAGCGGGAGTAGCTGTGGGACATGCTCAGCGGGGGTTTGCTCGCGATGCCGGTAGACGGGGAGCGTGAATGGTCGTAAGTAGGCTGGCCGTGCTGCGACGGGATCTGTAGTGGCTGCTGGGAGTGATGAGGAAGCTGCTGTTGCTGAGCTTGCGACGGCGGCTGATGAGGGACGGATGAAGCAGCGGGAGAAGATTGCTGCATCGGCGAGGGCAAGTTGGGCGAGGCTGGGGCGCCGCGAGCGGACAGGCCACCGGCAGGTTGGAGGACGTTGGGCACCGAAGTATTGGAGGGGTTCCTATAGTGGTGGGCGTTGGCGTTTGAGGGCGAGGACTCGAATTTGATCTGAGGAGTATTTTCGTATTCTGTCGGCGACATAGAGATTGGACCTCCAGTTTGGCTCAAACCCGACATGTGCAACTCGTCGTGCTGGGGCTGGGGTTGAGGGACGGATCCAGAGCCTGAGCCAGAGCCAGAAACAACTGGTCCTGGAGAGCCAGCGGACATGGAGCCCACCTGCGACTGACGCAGTGAGGGAGGGAATTGCTGTGATTGGCTCATGGTTGGATGATTTGGGTGTTTCTTGGCTGCTTAATGACGGACCTGGCCTGGCCTGGCGTTAGGTTATGGATCAGAAAACTTGACCTCTAAGCTCGAGGGCGCCAAAAACAAGTAACCGGCAAGTCCGCTTAAGGGACCATAAATTGACTCGATGATTTCGTTCTTTATGCTCTGAGTCGACTCGAACGGCCGCAGATTGACCCTGGCGCGGAGCTAAATGACTGAACTGCAACTGCAACAACAGTTTTGAGAGAAGCAAGAATACAAGTAGGAGATGCGAAACGAAGACGTTTGAGCGACAATAACGTTGCAGTCAATTAAACTTGAGGTGGAGCAAGAAACTCTCCCTTACAGTTGTGCTGGCGGTTGAGGACGGTCGGCAATTGGGGGTGATAAGCCAAAATGTAAGCAATTGACTCCGACCCAAGTTGTGCACAATACAGAAACTGCTGGTGTTCCTGGTGGTGGAAGTAAAGGAAAAACGTAAGCTCGGAAATTTTGACAAGATGCAAGAAAGAATGCGACGGGGATATTCGCTCGCGCAAGCAAACAAGACCTTGTCCAGCCTGGCTTGGCTAGGTCTTTATCGAGTCTGGTTCGGAGAAGGGAGGGGGTTAACCGGCGGGCTGATGAGACAGGCTTCTTCCGCTTGGATATAAGACGAAGGAAGCCTTGAGACTGGGTAAAGGAATATTGTACAGGCTGATGTTTTTTATGTAAGAGGGCTATAGTACGGTAAAACGGGCTTCCCGGTATACAGCTACGAGTAATAAAACATACTTTCATCTAGAGTTGTGGCTTTTACTTGATGTCCAATGTGGAACAATTGAAGGGTGTTAATTCTGAAACACAAAGGTCCATATCCTGTAACTTCTATTGAATGGCGTCTGGGGAAGATGTGTCTGGAAACAATCAAATGATACTGAGTGCTTCCCAAGTGATGCTTGCTGACGTAGTGACACCTACTCACTCTGTTTAAGCAAATGTGTTCCTTGTACCTACTCTGAGGTATACAAAGATTTTGATTGCCCTCTTCTTAGGACATTGCATGCCATTTATTAACCTCGTATCTGACCCTAAGAGTGCTTTGAGCATGCGACAATCTTTATTTCATACACCAAACCGAAGTCTTTGTGAGAAACGTACTAGAGAGTCCACTGATAGATACAGACATTAGCCCATATAATTTATCGTAAATATCATGTCTCATACATAGGTAATTCATCGTCACATGAAGATGAAGCCCGTGACGCGGTGGTGGTATAGATCCACTCCCCGCCCTGTGGATCTCAGCAGCTCATGGCAGGTGCACCCATGTGGGCACATGCCAACCCCAGATCGTGTCCAAAGCTTCATAGCCAAGCTTCAACAACAGCTCCTTGCGATCTGAACCAACTTTAACGACTTATCGTAACTCTATTCTATCATTATCAGCCCACCAGCCGCTGTAATAAATTTAAACAAATGTAAAACATCAACACTACACAACCCATACATCGTGCAACTCCAAGCCGCGAATACCCGACCTTCAACGAATGCATGCGACAGCTTCCGACTTTGCGACAACGTTCCACACTCGTTGATCAAGATAGCCATTCGCCACATAGGCATATCTATTAATCGGAAATGTCTTCACCTTCGATGTTCGATCGTATCTCGAGTTCTCGTCAGCGACTACCCAACATCCCCTTACGTAGCCCTCCGATTCGAGAAGTCAGCGAGTATGACTTAGACGAGCTCGAACCGAGAAGTGACGACGTCCTCTTCGACCAGGAAGCTCCGCGCCCGAGACTGAGGAAAAACACTCAGCCGGTATCGACCACTTCCACTCGTCGATCTTCATCTCCTGCTTCGATGGACAGCAAACATCGCTATTCCAACTCGCCTCCCCATACCAGATCGAAACCAATCTTCGCTGGACCACCGCCTCCGATCGCATCTTCCATGCTGATAAACCAGCAATCCTCTCGACAATCCAACTCTTCAAGTCACCTTGATAATAACAGGGGCTATGGCCTCCTAGCAGCCAGTAGATTTGGTTCGAACAGCCCCAGTCAAAAGCATGTGGACAACCGGCCACGTCTGGATACCATATGGAGAAGCTTACAGAGACGAGAGAAGGCGCTTGAACGTGATATTCAGCAGCTTCTGGATCTTCAAGCTTCAGGTCTGATTGCTGGAAGCGGAGATGGGGGATCCGAGAGTAACTTTGGAAGCGACACAGGTACTGGAGAGAGCACCTTTTACTCCACAGCTACATCCAAGTCCCGAATGGTGAACTCATTGCATATGCCTACGCGGTCCACGGCAGATGGCAATGTCATACCTGTGAGACAGCCGGCGCCAAACAAGCCCCGCGGTCTGAAAACAGCTCGAGTTGGCCTCCAGCGATCAATGACCGCATTAGCAGAGCTAAAGGCTGAGGAGGATATGCATTTAAACTCGGCTCTGGAGCAAAGGAAGGATGCTTTAGCTTATCTTGACAAAGTGGGCAAAAGAAGGGATGCTATCTACTCCGAGCTTCATGCTCTAGAAAATGATGAGGAGGAGCCTCTAGGTCAGGAACTTCGACTGCTGGAAGAACAACAGCACGAATTGGATCAAGAAATACAACTTCTTGAAGAGAAACTGGCTAGGGCGAAGAGGCGGCGCAGGTCGGTGCGAGAAAGAGCAGAGGAAGTCAAGAACCGACGAGAGGCGGGCTTGAGTGGATATAGGGCAGCTGGCAAAGACGTCGATATGGAAGTCAGGACATTGATGCAGACACCGCCCATCGCGCCACTGGATGTTGATGCCCTTGGATTTGGGGTAAACTCGCAGCCAAAAGAGGATATGGATATCCTGAGAGGCACTGAGTTCTTGCAGCTCCGCCCCGAACGCCGTACTATGGAAATGGCAAGAAATTGGTGGCAAGGAGAAATTGCTGCCCTTGAACGTCGCAAAGCGAAAATCTCGGAAGACCGTCAAGCTTTGATGGAAGGCTCAGAAGTCTGGTCCGAAGTAACTGGACTGGTTGCACAATTTGAGGCAAAACTGCGAGAGCTTGTGAAAGCTAGCCAGGCTGGCGATGCTGATGAAGAGCCGCAACAAGCTGCGATGCGAAACCAGCTGTCTGAGATGGATGACGTTGTTGAAGAATTGCAGCATCGATTGCAGATGGCAGAGTCAAAACACTGGAATCTCCTGATATGTGCAATTGGCGCTGAATTAGAAGCCTTTATCGAAGCCCAAGCTCTCCTGAAAGAGACCATTGGCCTCCCCGAGCCGGCCCCAGCACCCAGTTCCCCTGAACACAACGAATCAACGGACAAATCAGAAGAGGCGAGTCAAGATGACCAGGAGGAGAGTCACAATGAGAGCGACAATGAGGTTCCGGTCGACTTGTTGGTCTCCAAGTTTGAGGACCATGACCGCGACCCTCCTGATAGTGACCAGAAATCAAGTGTGGTGCTGAGGAGAGATAGCTCAGGAGAGAATGACGTACCGGCCGAGTTCTTAGCAGAGCACGATCCAAACAAGATCGATTAGGAAGCTGAGATTATGGCGATGATAATGCTTATGAGTAGACAGCACTTATGAATGATGACCTACGACAGAGGCAGGAGGAACTTGGATGATCGAGTTGTGTTTGATACATCACAGGATGGTTACGGCCTCACACTATGGAATGATAGAGAGTCATGGCGTTGTTGATAGTATCATTGATCCAATTCACATGCATAGTCATATATATCCGAACGCCTATCTGAAAATCCAGCGCGTCATCTCACGCGTGTCAGGTAGCTTTGTTCCATCATCGCGCCCGTAAATCAAGTCGTCAATCGGAGCCTGAGTGGAGGTTTCCATGGTATCAATAGCGGTAAAGATGTGTCTCGTCGCTCATCGGGTTCGCTCGAAGTAGCCGCTGGAGCCGGCAATCGCAACGGACTGGTCCATGACCCATTCGCCAACGCCGAGGTATCGGTCGATCCAGCCGGTGAACTCTTTGTTCTCACCGGCGACTCTGTCGGTCTTGAAGCTGTTTTCGATGGTTAGGGATGGTTGGGAAATGCGCGGATGGTGTAGCTCACGTCAAACCGGTTGATCGCTTCATGCCAGCAAGGAAGGCCGAGACTGGGAGATGTTAGCCTATAAAACATGCAAAGCGACGCAAGATTCAACTTACAAAGAACGGCGTCGAACGCATAATGTGTCAAACGTCCGACCTTTGACCAGAGTCCGAAAGTCAGCAGGTTGAGGAGCTGTGAGGAGTCTTTAGCCACGAGGGCAGAGCTCCGGGGATTGGAGTACATACCACCATGATGTCGATCGTTTAGGATGAGTTATTGAGAGTATACAAGTTGGATGATCGTTCGGTCTGGTCTCGGATCTGGAGGATCTCGCGGTGTGCTGGTCGTGAATGGAGTCGGGTCGATTTTACTCTAACCTTGGCTTAGTTCAGTATCATGCGACACAGCCCAGCCCAGCCGCCTCGGGAACCAGGCGGCAGTGGAGTTCACGGCAGGCCGGCGCCGAAAGCTCCGGGGAAGAGCCACATCACGTGTTAATTTGACCCAGATGCTTGGATCGTGAATGTGAAGATGCAGAACATTCTTAAGACGGGGATAGTTTTATCTGGGTGTCATTGGCATCATATCATGATAATTAACTAGACCAAAGATGGATTCGCTAAGACGGAGCATGATGTTTCTATTCCTAGTGAGACACGATACTAAATAAACATTCGCCAAGCTGTAAATAACTCAACATGCTTGATACTGATACTCTCAACGGAACATCCTGATATGGCAATGCGCTTAATTAATTGATTGACTTGAATCAGATGGGGCTGAATTACTATGTTGCATCGCAGCACGTTGCAATGTGCAGCCGCCGCTAGTCTCGTAGTCGCCGGACAGAGACAACCGCTTGTTCGCTGGCATTCCGGCGTTATTACAGAAAATCCACTCACAACTTTTTTTCTCATCTCAACGTCGGCGTGGGACGAGGTGAGATCCAGAGTCCAGAGTCCAGACACGAGAGGGGTTCAAGGGTCTAGAAAGACTTCGCCGAAAGCATCGCCGTGTCTATCCCAAGAAGAGCAAGAGCCCAGAGAGTCGATCAAAATAATCCCTCATCCATAAGACATAACATACAGTAGTATCAACGGTACAGCAATGAATGCTTGGGCATTGCCGTAAAAGGGATCCTCTTTCTGGGCGGCCCCCGCGCTGCCAATCTTTTGACAACCATAGTTCATTATTACCCAACATGCTGGTGGTATCTACCGATATCTAAAACGACATTGTTTCAATGCCGTTACTCAATGCAATGAGCTGTGTCTGAAAGGGTGAAATCTCATTCGTGCCTGATGGATGAGGGAGGGGCGGCTTGGAGGTGGGTTCGCTAACTTCGCTTTGATCTATTTTTCTGTTGGAGGACAGACAGACATGTCGGTCAAGTCAGCCACAAGTCGTGTCGAAACCTGACACTTGAGATGCATTAGTCAGGATATGGGGGTCTATCTCTGGTAGCTGAACCCAATGGTGATCTCCGCGGCCATGATAGTCATTATGTACATGTAGGTTGACGGTTAGAGCCGACCTCTTAGTTCAGGCTGCACCAACCAAAGTTGAGACATGAGAACGTTGGGCTATAGATAAGAGTCGTGATAATTCCCTCGCGTCATAGACATGACTTCTAAGAAGGTCTAACACTTGTCATGACAAGCATCAAGAATAGCAATGGCCTGCCTATACAGGAAGCGAGTCGATCACTTTGAGTTGATATGTATCATGCCAAGATACTCTCGAACCCCTTACCTGTATGCAATACTAACATAAACCTCGACCCAATCGTAGCAGCATGCCTGAGCAATTAATTGACTGATTGGATTGAAAGCCAAGCAAAGTTTCATGACCGTTGTTGAGGGCGTTACGAAACAAGGTCAGGGCCAATGTTAATTCGTTGAATAGGGCGCTTCCCGTCTCCAACTCGGGCTGTTGGCACCAGCAAGATACCCTGCGTGCAGGGTGACTCAACGATTTGTTAGAGGGATAGTCAGCATTAACAAGCGGGGGATTGACACTAGCCTGTTGCGCGTCTAGAGGCGAAGAGTGTTGATCATTGACTGGAGAGAGATACACCATTGATGATTTGTCTGATAATCCACTTCTCAAAAATATTGGCTAATTCTGGCAGATAGAGAGACGTCGTTTTGGCGTGGGATAAACTGAAAGCAGTTCGCTAAAGACGCAGGAGCTACTGTCGGCTGCTGCAGTAGCGGGCGGAGTGCTTTGCCCCGAAAGGCCGCTAACAACAATTAAATCCCTGCTTACAAGATGGAATGGCAAAAGCCACCTAATGATAGCGGGGTTGATTTTTTGGTGGGGGAAAGCTGCGACGTATAGAGGGGGAGGCGACACAACAGCTTCAGCTTCTGTTGAAGAAGCAAGATAATAATGATCAATTATTTATTTAGAATTCTATTTATAGTGAAGCTTCAAGTGATACATTGTACGTTATACAAGGCATTGACTTTATTTATAACAAAAGCTTGGACAATTCTAGTGCTCAACTCTGCATCTGACATCCATCTCCCACGGGAAGCGGGGTGTCAGAGCTCTCCATAATTCTGAACCAGATCGCCAGAACGAGAGAAGAAAAAAAAAAAAGAAAGAGGAAAAAAAAAAGCTCCTTTCCCTTATGGATCTCAACCACCGAAAGGACAGAGCTCAGACTGTCATGTCCGGGCATCCATATCCATGCTAAGTACATGTGAGGCAAGTACTCCGTAGCGCTACTCTTGGCTTGGCTCTTACCCCTCCAGTCATGATGGCTGTAAAATTCTTGGTGAGGTACGAATGTTTGTTGATTGGGGAGGAAAGAGCAAAGTACCTACCTACCCTTACCCCTTCCCTCGAATGAAAGCGGTAGGTGTAGCGTCTAAGGTAGGAATTTAGCCTTACTTTGCTTTGCCTTCCACGCTGTAGCTTTCCATAGGTTTGCCGTCTTTATTATCATCACCACACCAACTCTACTTCTCCCTCCTCTTCTCTTTCTTCCTTCTCTCTCTTCTTTCATCTCTCATCAACCTTCTTGACCTGCGACGTCAAACAACTCTACCTCCATTCACCCCTCTACGCCTCGACCTTTGCGAGCTCCCTCCTACATCGAACGTCGTCAATAAATAATACCAGGAAGAGCGCACGTTCCTCTGCCTCTTCTGATCATATCATCCTTTTGGATTATTATCGTACGGTGCAACACTCGTACAACAATATCTATACCCCTTTGTAAGTCAACATGCTACGCCACTACGCTGCACCAGGATGGGGACGTCTGTGTCTGCTGTGGCTTGGGCCCTGAGATCCCGCTCCTACGGCGCTTCTCTGGTCATGACGATAGGGGAAATGTGTGGCAATGCAGGTTCTCGCAGATGCATCTCTGGTCTTTTTCTGGCTGTGGTTTGAGAAATTCCCTTGCTCGCGACCCAGAAATTACCGGCTGTCGGATTTGTTCTCGGTTCTTCTGGCCCGATTAGCGACAATCTGACGATTCTCAAACTCGGCCCATCTATTGAGCTCATGGGGCACTCTGTGTCCTTCTCACCAGCCAAGCCAGCCGTTTTGACGTCGCGCCGAATGCTCTGCCCACCAAAATGCCACGCCCCATCCCTATCGCTCTTCCCAACACGTCACTTAACGTCAGATCCCGCGTTAGCCCCATGTCTTTGCTACACCTCACGAATGAGTCTCCGTTGGCCTGCATTGCAAGTGTCCGCAGAACAACCTGATATCCCATATTTCTTAGTAGTGCGATCTTCAATCGTTTGAGCTACTGAGAGATATATATTCGTGGTGGTGTCCAGACTGTACCACATTTCCTGTTCCTTCACATCTTTATTCCCTTTGCAGCCAGAGCTACCCCGCCAAGCTCTTCTCCCACCAACAATTCGCTAACCACATTCACAATGCCTCAGAACTCACGAAAAGAAAAAAGCGTCATGGCTGCCACCGCCCAGGACCACCTCGAGATGGGAGGCAAGATCTCATGGCTTGCCTCTCTCGACACCGCTTTCCGACCTGAGCGCAACTACCGCCGCTCCTCCATCATCTGCACCATTGGCCCCAAGACCAACTCCGTTGAGGCCATCAACAAGCTCCGAGACTCTGGTCTTAACGTTGTCCGCATGAACTTTTCTCACGGATCATATGAGTACCACAAGTCCGTCATTGACCATGCTCGTGAGTCCGAGGCTACCCACGCTGGTCGCAATGTCGCCATTGCCCTCGACACCAAGGGACCCGAGATCCGAACTGGTAACACTCCCAACGATGAGGACATTCCCATCAGCCGCGGTCACGAGATGAACATCACCACCGATGATGCTTACGCCACCGCTTGCGACGACAAGAACATGTAAGCAGCTCAGAGTTGATGTAGCTTTCCCCCACTAACTTTCCCAGGTACGTTGACTACAAGAACATTACCAATGTCATTGAAGTCGGCCGTGTCATCTACGTCGATGACGGTGTCCTCGCTTTCGACGTCCTCGAGATCGTCGACGACAAGACCATCCGCGTCCGAGCCCGAAACAACGGTGCTATCTGCTCCAAGAAGGGTGTCAACCTGCCCAACACCGATGTCGATCTGCCCGCTCTCTCCGAGAAGGACAAGGCTGATCTGAAGTTCGGTGTTGAGAACAACGTTGACATGGTCTTTGCTTCATTTATCCGCCGCGCTCAGGATATCCACGACATCCGTGAGGTCCTCGGTGAGCAGGGCAAGCGCATCCAGATCATCTCCAAGATTGAGAACCGACAGGGTTTGAACAACTTCCGCGAGATCCTTCAGGCCACCGACGGTGTCATGGTTGCCCGTGGTGATCTCGGTATCGAGATTCCCGCCGCTGAGGTTTTTGCCGCTCAGAAGAAGCTCATTGCCATGTGCAACCTTGCTGGCAAGCCCGTCATCTGCGCCACCCAGATGCTCGAGTCCATGATCAAGAACCCCCGCCCTACCCGTGCCGAGATCAGCGATGTCGGTAACGCCATCACTGACGGTGCTGACTGTGTCATGCTTTCCGGTGAGACAGCCAAGGGTAGCTACCCCTCCGAGGCTGTCAAGGAGATGCACGAGACCTGTCTCAAGGCTGAGAACACCATCCCCTACGTCTCCCACTTCGAGGAGATGTGCACTCTTGTCAAGCGCCCCGTCAGCACTGTCGAGTCTTGCGCCATGGCTGCTGTCCGCGCCTCTCTCGATCTTGGTGCCGGTGGTATCATTGTCCTTTCCACCTCCGGAGAGTCTGCCCGCATGCTTTCCAAGTACCGACCCGTCTGCCCCATCTTCATGGTCACCCGAAGCCCCACAACATCTCGATTCGCCCATCTGTACCGTGGCGTCTACCCCTTCCTGTTCCCTGAGCAGAAGCCCGACTTTGCTCAGGTCAACTGGCAGGAGGATGTTGACCGCCGTATCAAGTGGGCTGTCAACAACGCTCTTCAGCTTAACGTCCTGACCCCCGGCGACACCGTCGTCGTTGTCCAGGGCTGGAAGGGCGGCATGGGTAACACCAACACCCTCCGAATTGTCAAGGCCGACCCCGAGCACCTCGGAATTGGTCAGCTTCAGTAAAGAAAAAGTCTTATAAGGACACGGAGTGATGGGGAATTGTTTTATGCGCAAATTAATGATAGACAGGGCAATGATTGTTTCCAAGGTCAGGGTACTGGATTACGAATAAGTCACGTAAAGAATAAATAAACAGGGCAAAAGACCCTTTATGTCATGAACTCGAGCAACGTGATACATCTTGAGTGATAAGAAGACGCAACTGCGACAATATGTAACCTGGCCCAGTATGGCAACTTGAAAGACAGCATCTTAACGCTTGTATCTTACTGGATTGCTGGATGGGTATTCTGCAGATTTGCCTACTCTGCCTCCTAGATCGAATACAACAAGGGTGAAGAGGCTGATGTCTAAAAGAACTTTGCTATAGAGCCCAAATTTCTTGATCGAAGAATGCACTCATATATCGATTCGCTGATCTATGATACACCAGGAAGCAATCATCAGTAACGCCCATCTCGTTGGACATGCCTCTCTCACTACCGGAGATGTATCTGCGGATCTGAGTAACAAGGAGCTTATGCACTTACCACGGCTCGACCCGAAGCTGTGGGCCATCAAGATGCATTTCAACTCACACACGCCACAATAATTTGATACAAGGACCCTGAATTATCAAACTCGGTGTAATAAAGGACCGAAACGAGCCTCATACCATCAAATCGCACCACAACTCGGTGAGATACAGGATCAGACCACAAGCTATCGTATCACGTTACTTTACCAGGGGCTCGGTACTGTAACGGATCCTTGGATGGACCCTGGCTCGGCCTTTCTGTAACTCAGGCCTTTGATACTTGGTTCATAGTCGCAGACTCCCAGGTAGATTCGGGCGTCTTCTATACGGCTAGATGCTACCAGCCTGCAGAAATTGGACCTGAAGACCCGGGTTCACTCAGTGATGTCTTCTCTAGTCTGCCGTTCTTAACCTAGAGCCCAAGTTGGTGATGCGTTGCAGCATTGACACCAAATTCTCGGCTCTTGTCTCACTCCGCCAAGCGCACCAGCGATGGGCAATAGTCACATAGATAGGGACTTGATATCATTAACGACCCTTGAATCTCGAGATCGGTACCTGCTTTGGGGATTTGGCCTCCTGGTTCTTGGCTGCATACTGTCGTGAGGGGAGCTATTCAGGTACCCCAAAGCATTGAAGACTCATTCATCGAAAAAGAGAAGAAATAACTTGCCCAATTGTGTAGATAGATTGTCTATATTCATTGATCGAATAAGATGTAACCTCTCTCCTTATCCACCACCCAACTTCGCGTCCTCCAAGCTAAATTGAAGTTGATTCTTGCTTGTATCAATTCGACTTTAGCTACAATCGACCCGCCAGTAGATGAATATAACTAAAGCTATCCAGCTTAATTCTCATTCTGTTACTTATCAAGAATTCTACCATCATGAAGATATTCCCGTTACTCTTAAACACAATCGTGGGGATGTCCCTATCACAAGCCATCATCTCCACACCCCAAAGCGACGGATACAACCAGGAAATAACCCGGCCCGTCCCTCAACGACTCGGCCGAGACAAAGTTCCTTCTTCCCGTCGGCTCATACCTCCGTTTTCAACCAACTCCCCTGTCCAATGATAACCCCCAGCTACAAGGACCCTTTGTGATCTCTCTCGCTTAGCGTATTTTAATGGTTGTCAAGGAGGGGAATAGGTGCTCCGGCCGAGGTTCGTTGCATTGGAAGAGGGGATCAACAGATTCAGATAGGGACGAATTGCCGTATTGGACTGAACCCTGGTTGCATTGAATCAGTTCAGGCTATAGACGTGGAATAATAGGCCAGAGGTTTTATTTCTTCTCTTGTAATTGTTTTTCTCCTTTCAATTTGTGTCGCGCCATTTGTAGATACATCTGTTCCACTTTCTAATCTACCCGAATATTGTTGTTTATTGTATGGATCTTCTGAACATCAGTTACTTCTCGAATAGTCTCTGAGATCAGCCTCATACGATTCGGAGATACATTCGGCTGTGATTTCCTTATCTTCCTATTGCCGGAGTACTTTGACAATAATCCCCTTCTCTACTCCACGACAGCCCATTTGTTCAATACCGAACCCCGTATTCTTCAGTGGAGAGAATCCACTGGATTACATTTACGAATATTCGCGAAAAAGAATCCGGGGAAATTGAAACAACGCGTTGAAGTCGCGGAGTTTCCTAAAACGGAATATCCAGAGCACTACCGCCAACATGACCAAGGAAGACGACCACCCCCTAAGCCGCGAACCGACGCGCGAAGAAAAAACCGCCGAGGCGATAGCCGAAGGTCACGATGCCGATATCCCAAGTAACATCGGCTTTATTCCTACCGAAGCAGATGAGCGGCGAAGGACGAGTCTTGCTAGTCGCCGTGCTAGCCACGCAAGTAAAACAAGAGATGCCGAAGTGATAGATGCGGAGGAGGGTTCACAAACGCAGAGTGAAAGCGATATTGTCTGGTGGGATGGAGATAAAGATCGTCAGAATCCTTATAATTTTGCGACATGGAAGAAGGTTCTTAATTGTGTGCTTGTGTCGGCTCTGACGTTTGTTACGCCGTTGGCTTCCTGTAAGTCACTCCAAATCTGGTCAAATGGCGCCAACTAATAGACATGTAGCAATGTTTGCACCTGGTGTTCCGCAGCTTATGGTCGAGTTTGGAAGTACAAGTTCTGAACTTGCATCTTTTTGTGTTTCGGTATACGTCTTGGGCTTTGCAGCAGGTCCCATGATCTTTGCGCCTCTCTCAGAGTTGTACGGACGACAAATAGTCTACCACTGCTGTAATGTTGGTTTCATCGGTAAGTCGCACTTTCATTTAGCCTGCAACTTTACTAACAGTCTCAAGTCTTTGTCATTGCCTGCGCCAAAGCACCTACGTTAAGCAGTCTCATCGCCTTCCGTTTCCTCAGCGGCACATTTGGCTCAGCGCCTATTACGAATGGCGGCGGCACAATCGCCGACATGATAGTCCAGGAAAAGCGCGGTGCAGCCATGGCCAGTTTTAGCATCGGACCTCTACTGGGCCCCATCATTGGCCCTGTAGTTGGTGGTGTGGTGACTGATGCTCTGGGTTGGCGATGGGTGTTTTGGATCATCGCCATTATGTCAGGAGCATTGTCTATTGTCTTCTTTTTTGCTTCTGAAGAGACTTATGCACCTGTCATTCTCGCTCGCAAAACGAAGAAGCTCCAGAAGGAGACCGGCAACGACCGTCTTCGATCAAAACTCGATGCTGGGTTGAGTTCAGCGGATTACTTCAAGCGTGGTATCCTTCGCCCTTTCAAGATGCTCGCCTTTTCACCGATATGTATAATCTGTGGAATTTATGTAGGACTCGCCTACGCTTACCTGTATATTCTCTTCACAAGCCTTACGCCTCTCTTCATGCGGATCTACCACTTCAACACCGTCAACGCTGGCCTCACATTCCTTGGCCTAGGAGTCGGTAGTATGATTGGCGTGGGATATTTCTCAGCCTCGAGTGACAAGTACATGAAGAAGAAGGCTGCCATAGCCAAAGAGCAGGGCATTGTTGATCCCGCCGAGGTAATGAAGCCGGAACACCGACTGCCACCGCTCAGGATTGGGGCTATCCTTCTTCCTATCGGATTCTTCATCTATGGATGGACTGCTGAGTACAAAACGCATTGGATTGCACCTATTCTTGGAACAATGGTAATTGGTGTCGGCAATCTTGTCATTTTCATGGTAAGTACTTCCATACTACTCTACAGTACAGCAACATCCTAACACAATACAGTCTCTGCAAATGTATCTCATCGACACTTTCACCGTCTACGCAGCTTCAGCACTGGCCGCAAATGCCGTTATGCGATCCATCGCCGGAGCGGTACTTCCTCTCGCCGGACTGCCCATGTACGAGAAGCTTGGTATGGGTTGGGGAAACAGTTTACTTGGCTTTGTTGCTGCTGCACTTATCCCTGCACCGTGGTTGTTTATTAAGTATGGTGAGCATTTGAGAAAGAGATTTGAGATCAAGGACCTATAAGAGAGATTGTTACTATGTTAGAACTGGGTGGGATTAGAATATAGATGGGATACATAAATGATAGTATTAACCGGTACATACATAAACAACGTTGGTTAAGATAAGGCGTGAACTGTTAGAGAATAAAACGAATCAAAGATAGCAGAGTAAGAAACTGGGACTGACCAATCGCAACATATGCAAATTCATGACGCTTGTATTTTGCCTCGAAACAACTGAAACAAGACAGACATCCTGTGACCCTTGAGGGGGGTTAAAAATGCAGTGAAGAAAGAGTACGGTGTATGCCCAGCCACCGTGACAATGTTCCTCTTTAGCTTTGTAACCTCGACCGACCCCTCAATAAGATAACACCATTGTAACGAATCTTGTATTTGTGAAAATCTTTTGATCATCTCCCTTTAGACCCTGTAGTAAGAAGCACGATTACAAGTAGGAGTCCTGTCTCAATGGCCATGTTCTACAAGACAATGAAATGAAACTTCACAGACAGAAGAACAGATCAATCTCATCGGTTGCAATGGAGACTCATCATCAATTTCATTCAATTCAATTAATCGCTAAATCAACATCAATCGGCTCAATCCAATCTGGGCCGCCATTAAATTCCCTTACAGACGGTGTCGAACCTCAAGCTCACCAGGTGCATTGTAAGTAGGAACCTTCATCTCAAGCGCCTCACCAGAGTAACCAAGATCCTCAGCAACAAGCATAGCCGCCTTCTCACCGATGAGCAGAGCAGTAGAGTATGTGTTGCAGCCGACGTTGTCGGGGCAGATGGACAGATCAGCGACCTTGAGGCCTTGGACACCGTGAACGTTGAGTCTCTCGTCGAGAACTCCGTGCTTGACGATGCTGTTACCCTCCTTGGGTGCCATGGAGCAGGTTCCGAGGCAGTGCCAGGTTGATTCTGTGTGGCGCTTGACCCATTCTGAGAGAGGTTAGTATGCGAATAGTGGTGTGAAGGGAGTAACTTACCCTCGACGGCCTTGATATCGTTCTCGCTGTACTTGAGCTCCTCACGGATGTGAGCTCTGTTCGAGTTGAGAATGTTGGCGCCGGGCTTGCGGTCTGCCTCGGGAAGGGGAGAAGACCAGCTTCCGTGGCCGATACCAGCAGTGATGTTACCGGGAAGGGCGTAGGCCTTGGTAGTCTCGAGATCCATGTCGTGAGCACGAGCAGGGCTGTCGTAGTCGAAGAAGGGGTGCTAGTAAAGTTGGTGGTTGTGCCCAAGTGACAGAGAGCAATTGACTTACCATATTCTCGACTTCACCAGCGTAAGCGTCCATGCGACGGGCAGTCTCTCGGGACTTGATGTATCCCCAGACCATGGGGACCATGTCTCGCTCATCGTTCATCTGATCAAGTTAGTGCTGTCCGGGATTGTAAGAAGTGGGTGGACTTACAAAACCACAGTCAAAGTCGGGAGTGTCATAAGGATCGGCACTCTTGATGTGAGTGAAGCCACGAGAGAAAGGATACTCGAGGAAGTGGAACATAGAGAAGAACTTTCCAGGAGGCCTATAACAGTTAGTTCAATTCGTGTGTGAAGCGTTTCAATGGCCCAATCGCCAGGTATTATAACCAGTTGGATGCTTGAGCGCTGGTTACAGTACATAGTACCGACGTGGCCACTCATTCGTGTAATGATCAAACTTACATGAGCATATGGTCACCGAAGAAACCTGCAATGACAGAGTAATGCATAACAGGCTTATCGGGCTTGTTCTTGAAATAAGACTTCCATCCCTCAGTGAAGTGAGGCGTGGGCCACTTCTCGAATTCCTTGAGCTCCTCCTCAGTAGGTCGGATCTTGACACCGGCTTCAATACCGTTTGTAGCCAATGGCCCTGTACCGTTAAGGGCCCACTGGTCGAATACTTTCTTCTGAACTTCAGGATCTCCGCGAACGAAGTCGTCGAAACTCTCAGTCTCGGGTTTGGCGCGGTAGACGGAGAAGGTGAGGTAATGATCTTGGAAGTTGAGACCCACACCAGGCAGGTCAACCTTAGGCTCAACGCCTGCAGCACGGAGCTTCTGGGGGTCACCGATACCAGAGCGTTGAAGAATCAGGGGCGAAGAGAGTGTACCGCCGCTGACGACAATCTGCTTTCGCGCGCGGAAGGTTCTGGTCTTGAGCTGGTTTGGGTGGAGAGGCTTAGTGGGAACAGTTTGAACACCAACAGCACGGCCATTCTCCATAATGATCTTGTCGACCTTTGTGTTGCAAGCGAGGTAAAGGTTGCTGTGCTTAGCACGGGTGGCATGGACGTAGGCGTGTGCCGAGTCACTTCGTCGGCCAGTGTCGCGGTTGATCCACTTGAGCCAGTGCTCTGCACCATGGCCGGTACTAAGATCCTCGAGATCATCGACGAAGGGAATACCTTGGGATTCTGTTGCACGGAGGAAGTCATCCTTGATGGGGTAACAGTAGTTACCGAATGAGACCTTGATGGGACCCTCGAAGCCGTGGATATCGGGGTTGACGGCGTGACGCTGGTAGGTCTCGTGCTTTCTCATGAGAGGAAGCAGCTCCTCTGTGGTCCAACCCTTGGCCTGGAAGTCATCATCTGCAGTAAGTCAGTATCATCAACCCTCTTGTAAGTTGAGTCAGCTTACAGTCTGAAGCACTAGCTCGAGTGTACATCATAAAGTTGATGGACGATCCACCACCAAGGATATGAGCACAAGGAACTGTCGCAGCTCGACCAGCAAGATGCTTGCTAGGACGAGACTTGTAGAACGAAGCAGTCTTGGAGTCGAGCTTCATGTTGCGAGGGTAGATACTATTACAGTTAGCTTTCGTTCAACCCTTTCACTCGGAATATGTCGTCTTACCCAGGTCTGAACACCCATGGGTTGTTCAAGTTACTCTCACCAGCCTCGATGAGAAGGACCTTGAGGTTATGGTCGAGGTTGGCCAGTCGTCCTGCAACGACACAACCACAACTTCCACCACCGCACACGATGATGTCGAACTCCTCGGGCAACGTGCCCAAGTGGCTCGCGTACGAATTGGAAGACGACATGATGAGTAGCTATCCAGGTAAGAGAATGATAGAAGATTCTCTGCCTGAGTGACGATATCCAAGACAACGGAGGACACCAAGCTTATTTATACACGCAACAAGACCTCAAAAACACAATTCTGAACTGCATATCGATCTAAACTCAGTCCTAGATGCCGAATCAACACCGAAGGATGTGTGTAAGATGGCAGGGAACATCATGGCGATGTTGCGAACCCCTCTCGATGAACAACGCGGGCACCAATGGCATATTGCATCACAGGGTCATCTGGGGTAAAAGAACTGTGGGTTATGGTTTCATTGATTGCACATCAGCTCTTAGTTTGAATGCAAGTTGAGACTTCGATATCTCTGTTGCTTGGCTTGGCCTGCATGGCCAGGATATCATCTGTTTTGCCGCTTTGTCGTTCGGGTTAACGATACCCGGGGTGTTGATGTCTCCTATAGAAATAAAGCTATACAGTATAAATTTCAACAAGAAATTAATTGTTTAGTTCAATTGATGTCTTTGTGATCCAATTGATGGTTCCGTGGTATCCGAGTGTCAAGATCTTGATGTTCAACACACTTCAACACAACACACACAGACACAGCACAGACCCTTTTCCTGACTCGCAGATGGATATCCGATCTTCAGTCTAATCCCCGCGCCGGATAAACATATTCCAAGAATCCTGCATACTGTATATGTATGTAGTCTTCTAAATCAGGCAATTTGCTCAAACTTCCCTTGTCCCGAGGCAGTGCTTGCAGCTCCCAGTCTGAGCTCGCATTCCAATGAACGTCAAAGCTCCAGACGACCAACAACCCACTACTGCAATGCAGTTACATGTCAGATTACGACGTTTCCCCAGCTTTTACGGGCGTCAGCTATACAACAGCGTCAGGGTGTCAGAAGAGTTGGTCGCTGCAAGCATAAGAGACGAAATAATTTCACCACCTTATGTGACCTTTAGGCCGCTATTTAGACTATTTTATTTTAGTAGCCTAAGTCTTGGGAGATGTTTCTTCTGTTGCCCACCAAGAACAGCTATACCCTGGTATAAGAGCTGTCATGAATCCTTTGTTCCCGGTCAAATAGGATTGATCATCAACTACACCCGGACCCTCCCTACCCCAGAAAAGACTAACAAAAATGCGGGGAAGACCAAAAGCCAAGAGAAGAGGTCAAAGTCCTCTTCGGCAATCATGTTGTTCTATCAAGTATAGAAAGAGGGGGTTACGAAAGATGACGTCCAAAGAGAGACTAGTCTCTTGCTTCGCTTGCGGGAACAAGGTTCCTTCGACACGTTTTGATACTGTAAAGAGAAACCCGGGAGGTCTTGGTGCCGTCGCTTCCCCGCAATCATCTATCGTGACAACTTATACCGGTGTCTATTTCTGGTTCTTCAACATGATATATGAGGTTCAAAAAGTGGAGACTTTAAAAAGACCAAAAACATACAACAGCGGG